TTCAATCGAATGAAAGAATATCTGCAAGACTACTATATTGAGCCAGAGAAGATGATAGTATCTTCTGACCAAACTGAAGCCGAGAAGAGATTAGCCGCTGATGATTTCGACGAATATGGCCCTGAGGAGGAGAACACTTCAGAAATGGAAGAACAAAATCACCCTTCAGACATTGGAGAGGACAATATTATCGTTATCGAAGAATAATGGATTTTATTTTGAACTACAGTAAGGCCCCTTAAAAGACACAGGTTTATCATCTTTGTCAAAATTTTTAGGATTAAGAAATCCTTTTTTATGACCTTCAGTATGGATATTCTCCCAGAAAGTCACTAAATGAGAACTGTAACAATGAAAGCAATCAACGCAGGATGAAAATTTGACGCGCGTAAAGATGGTAACTTGAAGTTTTCTTGAAGGACGTAAAAACCAAGGTTCTATTATAGAAAATAGATTTTTTAAGGACCCTTTAATTTTCGCTACCTCTAATTTTTGCCCCATTTAATATTTCCATAATTCGCCCCCTTTAATCCTCGCCCCCCTCCGGGGCGAAAAATAAAGGCAGGCGAAATTTGAAGGGACTAAGGTAGCCTGTGCTCCAGACCCCTAACTTGAAAGTTAGCGGTCTGGAACACAGGCTAATTTCGAAAGACCTTTCATTAAAAAAGACCAAGATTGTAAATTAGGAAGAGGGGAAAATTTTTAGGGGAAAGAGGAAATTCAAAAGGTCCATTCCAAGATTCCAAGAATGACTTCAGATATAACTTTTTATATATCTATAACGAAGACTAGAATATGGTGCAAAATATCTTCAATTTTTGAAGATTTTTATAGCTGACAATTGATACGCTAGAGGTGGAGATTCAAAGTATCGAGGTCATCCCCACCCAACGCTGCAATATCATAGTCCAGGGGAAAAAAAGAAGATTGTAAAGATAAGAGTAGGCAAAAGGACATAATACCATAAAGGTTTTTGCAAAGCACAGGTTTACAAAAAATTTCTGGCCGATGAAACAGCAAGCCCAATGTGAAAATCAAAACTGTTTATTCATGATTTGCTTAATTTCAGCTACATGTATAAAATGCTCTTAGGGCCCATGGCTTTTCCAGGAAAAAATAGATCATAGGGAAAATCAAAGCTGAAAAACTGGCCAAACCCCACCCTTCAACGCTTAAGGGAAGTGCTTTGCCCTTTAAAAGGCATTGGGTCATGGCAAGTTGGCTGTCCGTGTAGAGGCCACTGGTAGAGGCCAATTGCATCGCTGCTGAGTGCTGCTTTATGTTATAAGAATCAGTTCGAGGCAACTTAATGAAGTTAGACCTAGGTCCACCAATTCCATTCCAGCTGCATTTATGACATACCCTCCTCGTTTTTCGTGGCTTAAAACCTTAACACCTTAATACCTAAAATATAAAAATCGCTTGTCTCTAATTCTACTTAGCAATGTGTTAAATTACTTAGTGTTAAATTGACTTAGTGGTTACCCAAGCTTCCCCCTGGGGCAAGAGGGTGGAAGAGCTCAACAAATTTTGTCTTGCGGTGTGAAGCTGAAGATATCTATGAAAAAATGTTTGTTTAGAAAATTGGCGGCACGAGAACCAGTACAGTCAACTCCGAAATGACACTAGAGCACGGGAAAATGCTTATTATTTCTCGTAGCAAAAATCTTGTGGAAATCCATGATGACCAACGTTTTTTAACGACATGGTACCTGGATAGATAGATAGATAGATAGATAGATAGATAGATAGATAGATAGATAGATAGATAGATAGATAGATAGATAGATAGATAGATAGATAGATAGATAGATAGCTTTACAGGCAACTTAAACAGGTTTACCAATTAACACTGTAACAATGGAAACTTGAAGCAGGGTTTGAAAAAGTATCTCAGCATGTTTACAACAATTTTTCTTAGTACCAACAAAATAATCCGTAAAATTATCTGTATTTCACAGCAAATTTTTATAGCAATTTTCTGAAACATTAAAAACTGTTAATTCGATTTAAAGTATTGGAAAAATGCAAAGTCTATAGAAACTTACAAATTCAAATTAATTAAGTGGATATGCAAAAAGAGTGCTAAAACAAAATTATAAGACTAAAATACAATTTATGATCTTTGTATGAAAAATATTCCTTTTTTCAAAATATATTACCCTAAAACTCAAAATATCTACATTCTATAAAAAAAACAAATGTTTTTTGCTGTAGACTTCCTAGATACTTTGCTACTTATCGTCGTGCAGTTCTGCTTACTGTTGAATTAATTGTTTTTATAGAATTTAGCGTGAAAAATTGGTTAGTTTTTAAAAACTGGAAGTAAGTTAGTGGGAATCACATACAGTAAAATTTTAGTTTTTCAAATTATGCAAAGCTTGTTAAAATAATTGATTTTCTTGTGAATTGTCCTCATAAATTTACATTTGACTGTTCGAAGTATGAATTATAAGAGCTCTCGTGACGTGAGCATGCGTTGCCACCTCGTCTGCAAAATGACTTGCATCGTTGTCCATTTCTCGTGAGTGACCCGCAGCGTCTCTGAGCTTGGTTGGCGCCAATGCTGACATCAGCTTGGCGATCAGCTGATCTGCTTAGTGATTGATTGATCGATCGGTTGAGAAAACTGTTGCCTAGCTTATGAGGAGTCGATGTGATGATTGACTGACCAGCAACTATGATGAATCAATACCTTATTTTACTGCAATGTAGGCTTTACATCTGTATCAATATGGATTTTATTGATACTTTTGAATTAATAACGGTAAATATTATACATGAATTTCTAAATATCTGTTTGAGAAAATACAGCAACGAGATTCGTTATGCACATTCTTTTTATAAGAGCATACTTTAAAAGACACCTATGCTCGATTTGCTAAAAAATAAGAACAATATAAGAAAATGACCAAACAAAGACAAAGAAGTAGAAGAAAAAACAATGTGATTTCTCTCTTGTTAACAAAACAGAAAAGACTTAATCAGACAATCAACTTTGTAATAAAAATTTCTTGGAAATCTGTTTAATTTATAGTATGTAGATGTAGAAAAAACAACGTTGAAATAAGAACAAAATTAAGATAAAACGGGCCTCAGATTATCCAGAAATAAAAACATTGAGCCTCAGAAAAAGTTATCTGCTTCTTATGAAAAAAGTGTACTGCATATGAGGTCTGATAGAGGTCATGTGATTCCATTCGACTCGAAATGCGTAGCGTAGAAAGATTGAATAAAGCATATCTATCAGGAACAGCTCTACGTGGAGTTCAAATTTTATTGAAGTTTGTTTCCCCCACGGAGCTTATGTTTATGAAGAATTACACTATGATTGAAGAAAATGCAAATAAATTGGCTATCATCTTTGATGCCAAAGAAATAGAATCGAATATATCACATGTTCCAACGATCTATTCTTAAGCATAAGCCAAAGATGGCTACACATGTAAAAACTATTGTGACAAATCCTAGAGGTGTACAGGGCCACAGCATAGCTCTTTATATAAATTCTAATGAGGATGAGTTTGATTAAACAACTCACCAGACTCCTGACCATCTTCTTCCTCCGCATCGGTTAAGTCCAAATCCTCGCAGCCTTTCTGACTACTGTTTCCGTCTTTAGCTTTTTCTTTTCCATACTTTCTTTTGTAAAACAGAAGATCACACGGGACAAGATTATACAGGTGCTGTATAAGGTGCTGCAAGGCTTTTTCAATCCAAATGAAATTGCTTTTGAGTCTGCAGGCGTAGCAGAAGATCCAAGTCGCTGTACGTGGAAGCAGATATATCCCCCATAAGAACCAACCTTACTTTAAGATTTTTGTAACGAATTGATATGCATTCAAGAAAAAGGGGCATGATTGACAAATTTAAACAACTTTTAACTGCTTTCCAGCAATTTTGCCATTTGGCCGTTTAGTCGGCGAAATTTTTTCCGATTTGGCAGTTTTCGAAATCCTTGTTTGTCGAAAACTGATTTGGCCTATAAAGAAAAGTTGGCCTAATTTAGGCCGTATGTGGAAAACCACAACAAATTTATTTTCTCTAGGATTTCTAGTTCACAATACGGGAGACTGGGGGGGAAACCTCTAAACCAGGGAGATTTCCTGCTCAACTAAGAGGGTTGCAGTTTATCATATATGCGGTGATTGTTTTACATTGAATCTACCTTTAATTTTGCTCACCTCTTCCTGGACCGATCAACTTTTCCCGGGCAGAAAACGTCGGAAATTTGCCTCCCTCCAGGTAGCCTGTTTTCCAGACCCTTAACTAAAAGAATTTAGAGTCTGGAGCGCAGGCTACCCTCCAGCCAACTGGTAGATGTCTTTATATGTAAAGTCTTCCGTAAAAAAGGTTTTATGGCGGTTCCATTGCTTACCTGGGTATGTCAAAGCGACAAGAACGAGCATTTCTTTGTATGTAAAGTGATGTTTTTCTTGCAGGGCCAGAACACAGTTCATTGGAAGCAGCACCACCATCGTTGTTTTCGAAAGCAATGGCGACCCACAAAAGATCATCATCAGCAACATAATTGTAAGTTGTATTATGTGCCCAAGCAATATGGAGATGACTGATATCCTGTCACGTGTTCCACCCACTGCTTCGTTTATCCATTTCATTTGGTCATGAAAAGAATCTTCAAAGTTTACAATCATCTGTAAATTAATTAGTAAGATAGTACCTTATTCTAAAATTTTTCTTCGATTTTCTTTTTGCTTTTTTTCACAACTATTGATATATCTGAAGTATCGAGTTTATTTAACATTTTTTGGATTACCTGAGCCTCGAGTTCTCTTTAATATTGTTCTCTTTTTCAAAATTAGCTTTTCTACAGTTACGTACTATAAACTTTTTGTGCTTTTAGTAGAACCGTTGATTTGATGACAACATCTGCTTAGTTGTTTCAACAGGATTTTCAACAAAACCTAGAAAGGTTGCTTTTTATCTTGCAATTTCTCAGCTGCTTTTATTGTTCCTAAAAGATGTTCTTTGCTTAAGTGTGTTCCTTAAAGATGTTCTTTGCTTAAGTGTGTTCCTAAAAGATGTTATTTGCATTAGTGTGTTCCTAAAAGATGTTCTTTGCTTAAGTGTGTTCCTAAAAGATGTTATTTGCATTAGTGTGTTCCTAAAAGATGTTCTTTGCTTAAGTGTGTTCCTAAAAGATGTTATTTGCATTAGTGTGTTCCTAAAAGATGTTCTTTGCTTAAGTGTGTTCCTAAAAGATGTTCTTTGCTTAAGTGTGTTCCTAAAAGATGTTCTTTGCTTAAGTGTGTTCCTAAAAGATGTTCTTTGCTTAAGTGTGTTCCTAAAAGATGTTCTTTGCTTAAGTGTGTTCCTAAAAGATGTTCTTTGCTTAAGTGTGTTCCTAAAAGATGTTCTTTGCCTAAGTGTGTTCCTAAAAGATGTTCTTTGCATAAGTGTGTTCCTAATAAATGTTCTTTGCTCAAGTGTGTCCCTAAAAAGGAGTGTTTTGCATAAAGCCTAGAGCAATTCGCAGATTTTAATTGGGGGACAGCGAAGTTCGTTTTTAGAAAAAATCCTGCACAGCCTGGTCTTATCCTCTGCAGTGGAATTTCTTTTAACGTCAAATGAAAAGCGCATAGAAAAATAGGGATACTGGATACTGGATTTATTGTAACATTAAAAAAGCCTCGCAAGCGAGGAGAATTTTAGGTAAATCTATGGATTCAAATTAGAATGCAGCAAGGTGCATACAACAATTCTGTTCAAAAACATGACACAATAGTTAACATTTATCTTGAGGGCTCACCTCGCTCACAAAATTGATCGCTTGTTGTATGTCTTGAACATTTTCGATGATCTTGCTATGGCGTTCTTCGATATTTGCATAATGGTTATCCATATTGCTCACTGCTTTGTCTGAAAGTCAATAAAGTTTTTTTGAATCATGAATCATGATTTTCAAAATCATGAAAGATATCGTCGACTTGAAGTATACAACTTTCTTCAAGTTGTGTACTAAAAAACATGAGGACACGAGCAAAGGAGTCGATTGAACGTAAGAAAAAAAATTCTTTATGCAAAGGACGTTAGAGTCGTGGAACAATTTACCAGCTCACATGGACTCTTACACAAGTTGGAAAGTGGGGGGGGGGGCAAGAAAGATTTAAATAATCATAACAAAATATTTTCAAAAAAGCTCTACTGTTTTGCAAAATGTTGGGGCATGGACCCCCAGGCCCCTTCATCGGATGCATTTGCTCAACAGCTCAAAAGTATTGAATTTGAAAAACTTCACGGTAGCTTCAATTACGAATAAAAACATAACTTTTGGGGTTTCATAGGATGCAAGCCTCGTGTTCTCTTACTCAATATATTACTGATTATATCAATATATCAAGATCAATGGTACCTTAAACATTAATTGGGTTTTACAAACATGTTACAAACACAAAGGAACAAGAGGGACAACAGTGGCAGGCTATAAAACAAGGGCTTTTGAAAATTGATTCCAAGGTTCTACTAATTCTGCTGTCACTTATATTTTGTAAGTTGCTGCAGGCATTTAGAAAATGGGCGAAATTCTGGCACAGGAAGATTGTTTACTTGTTTTGAGTAATGTTGTCATCAAAAACAAGAAAATTTATTAAAAAGAGTTGAAAATTTGGCCTTTATCTCTATTCGCTTTATTGTTGGTTTGCTTGAAAGGTTAAACTTCCATAGACAAGGCCTCAACAATAATCATTCAGTTTTAAACAAAGCAGTAAAGAAACGATTTGTACAACATATGTTACTGTAGATATATCTAGCCAAATCTTAGTTGCCTGTCATATTGTGCTGAAATTTTTGCAAGCATACCAAGCTTAGAAAGGACGTCTTGAGCACGAATCTGGATGGCTTGAACTTGAGACAGCAATTCTTTGTCGCTGCTTGCTCTTGCCACGTGATGCTCCTTGATTGTTCCAGCAATCTCTTCTGTTGTGTGCAAACAAGGTTCGATGTTTAAAACATGGTGAAAATATAATGTAAAGGAAATAAAGGAAAATCATTATAAACGGATACCTTTGTAAAAGAACCTCTCCGACCTATTTTCTACAAAACCTTTTTAGAAGCAACCCCAAAGCCTGTAGGAAAAATTGGGGGTCTACAACCGTTTGAACGCCAGCAAACGCCCTTTATCAAAGATATTTTCTTTCGTTAGAGGGGGGCATCCGTCTCCCCCTCTTGCCTCCCCCTCTTGCCTCCCCCTCTTGCCTCCCCTTGCTACGTTGTGCCCAAAACCACAAATAACACTCTGCAAGGTTTAACTCATTGATGTCCGTTTACTCTGAAGTATCATTGATAAGACAAGCCACTTTATTTATCTTCATTTATAGTTATCAAGCTCAGTAGCAGCCCGTTAAACCGTTTTCTATTGCTATTGGATATTCCTTTTTTCAGTCTACAGTCGTACCACGGGTGAATCGGACATTTGCTGATTCGTATCATTTTCTTTCTCCCCATCCCTCCCCCTCCCCTTCCTTGGCAGGTCTGACTTAGGAGATTCATCCGTTTTCAGATTTACATGGAGAGATGCTGTCTTTTGGCTAGATGACTTGAATTTTTAAGGCAGCGATAAAGTACTTGAATGAAAGAACAAAAAATAGAAAAAGCTGTTTGTGTTCATGATACAGCACGTGTACTTTTTGGGCCTTTGCTCTTTCCCTTAGACTTTACAGAAAGCAAGGTTCTACACTTAAGATATCTTTCGGGTTAATCACGATTTCATCAAGACCTTCTGCTCAGTATATATTCTTAATTACCTATACTCTCTCGCCATTTTAACAAATGCTAAATCTGCTAGTTTCAGAAAACTTTGAATAGAAAACCCAAATCAAAATCAATACAACAATCGTAAAGAAAGATATTTAGTAAACTAACCCAGATCTCTTTTCACTTCTAAACTGTGCTTTTTTATGTCCTCCTGTCTCTTTTCCATGAGCTCTTTTTCACGTGACAGCTCATCGATGTTTTCATTGATAGCCTCCTTCAGGGATATTTGTTGGCTATTTAGCTCTGTTTGCACCTTGACTGCCTTGTTGCCTCCTTCGACCACATGCGTTATTGTCTCTGAAGTCTTATTGCCTAGATCTTTTTGGCTTGCCTGCATGACAAAGACTTCCAAGTAAATTATACTGAATATCGGTATCTTTCAAGTTATTAAAACTTGTAAAATTCATATAAAAATAGATGTGTTCGAAATAAGGCCCTTGTTAAGGCAATAACTTATAATAATTTGACCTCTGAGCCATTCTCGATGACTACTGAATGATATTCCAGCCAAATTATTATGATTTATTCTTGGTCATATTTTATCATAATTAGGCAAACTTTCTCATCATTCGGCAAATTGATTTAATCAGACGTTTTCTCTTATGAAGCTGAACAAGTCAATTCAAACGAACATTTACATGACATTCTTCACATGTCAACTACCAGCTTAATGCGTAATGCGAATAAACTCTCTGCAAGCAGAAAATGTAATATTTCACATTGATGTGTTTTTTTACAACCGTCCATTTCCTGTTTAATACAAAATTTGCCGATAATTTATGTAATTATCTATCTGGTGCGCCTGTGAAGGTTTTGTCTGTTGACCAACCCAGGAATTTAGTTGGACATCCCTGATTCAAGAGTAAGAGTGATTGGTACAGCCAGTGCCATCGAGAGCTTGGGCCAAGAAGTTATTCACAAGACTGCCCCCCACCCCTCTAAGAAGGTTTTGGTGACCACATCCTTCAGTCTCTCGCAGAACTAGGGAAACACCCTTTTTATCGCATTCATGAACAAAGGACGTTAGGGCATTTTTTCTCTGTAGAAAACTTTAAGGCATTGATTCAATTAAGCAGCTGAAAGAGTGAGTTCTCTGAGTTGTAATTAGGACTCGTAGCAACAAGGTGCAAGATTTGTACGGGCCCTGGACTCTTTGCTCCTCCTAACCTCTTCCAAGCGCTCCTGGGTACAGCGTATTTATATTATATTAACACTTGTTCTTCTCCTGCGCAGTAGTAATGTTACGTCATGGTACATTGTCTTTGAATGTTTGGACAGGAGTTCGACTCAGTAACTGAAGGATTAGCAGCCGCTGTTTTCCTTTGTTAACAAAATGATAATCATAATCAGTTATAAAAATCGCAGGGAATACTCACCACCCTACCCCTCCTTAATGATGTTGTTCTTCTTAAAAGGAATACACACAATGACTGTATTGAAAAACAACTATTGTAAGAACAACTTAAAGCATTCAACGACATACATTAGAACTTACCAGCAGGTGTTGTAATGATACAAGATTCTCCCTTGCTGAACTCGCAAGTGAATTAATCGTAACTTCTGTTTTGATTCGGAACTCTGTCTGTCTTACACTGTAACAAACTGCCCTAGCCCTGTTGCTGATCACGTGATAAGCGTTCCACGTATCAGGATCCATATCTTTGGTACATTCACTCAGCTCCTAAAATGATGATTGATTAACTACTTTTGTTTCAAAGATTATAGAAAAGGCCGACTGGGAAAATTTGTGATAAAGAAAGTAAGTTAACAGAAGTTGAAGCATCTTCGGACTCAAGAGCAGACCATCCCAACATAGGAGCACGTGTGAGTTTTTCGAAGAGGGCCATAGCTGGAACTTTTCGAACAACAATATTGCCTTTCGAACAACACAATATTCTGGCGAAGGAATATTTTAGCAGGGAAACAGCGGACATAAATTTTCAAGTTCAAGGGCTTTACCCATTATTAAAATTTCGCAATAAAAGGGGACCCACACAATTTTATATTGAAGAAGGCTTGACACAGAGTCGACATGAAGGGGAGGGAAGGGAAGGGAAGGAACTAGAAAGAAAGGGAAAAAAAGGAAGGGGAAGGGATTGACAAAGATAGTTGATTTTTGCTTAAACATATTCGAGTACGCTGGGCTGATAAGCTGGGCTCGTAAGCTGGGCTGAAACGCTGATATTGTACGAGATTCAGAAGAAATGTAGTAAAAATCTCGATCATCTGTTTCAACAAAACAGTTAAATCTTTTGCGACATCTCTAAATAACCATTCAATCGATATGGAAAAATTAAAAGATCCTTTTACATGTTAGTAGTTTTTGGGTGGTTCTACAATGCCTTTTTATATAAATGCAACTGTTTGCCGCAATTGAATGTTTCCTTAATATGCTATAGATCAACTGCTGCTGATATTGATATTTTTCGATAAGTTTTTCAAATAATAAAGAAAGTATCAGACTCCGCTGTATGGAAGTCTCTTAGACTGGTTGAGTGCTCGGTGACAACTGTGATAGAATAAGCTTCGTTCGTCTTACCAATTTAGGAAGAAACCCACAAATGACGTAATTAGAGTCCAGTTCTCTTTTGAATGTATTTAGCAACACATAATTCTCAACGGCGGGCCTTGTTTGGTTAGATATCAAGTGTAAAAGGAATCGCCTTCCCACGTTCAGCATCGTATCTATCATCACCAACGACCAACATTCTGTATCATCATACTGCACTTCCCTCCAGGGGCGTAGCTAGCAGGGGGTGTGACACCCCCAATTTTTCATGAGTGTGTCGGTAAATCTTCAGCTGGTGCAAAACATCCTTGGTTTGTCGGTAAAATCGTATATCAGTAGGTGAAATAGCACCTAAATGTTTCTTCATCTATGTCTTTTTACTACTCATGACCCTCCATCCCCCTAGTCAGAAAGGTCAAGCTACGCCACTGCTACTCTCTACTTTTATAGTTATAGAGAGAAACTCAGCCATAGTGAATAAGTTCTATTATTATGGCTTAAAGCTCACACACTTTGATAACTTACCATATCTTCTGTACACTTATATATTTTTCTTCCTTCAATAGCACTTTGACAGTTCAACAGATTCACACTTAGTTTTGAGAGATCCATCTCGGTCAACTTGTTGCAAGAGCTTTTTAGTCTATTGACGATCTTAGAGAGAGAAAAAATCAAACGATGTGAATATGTATTGATTTTGAAGTGAATAAAGCGGGGATAAGCAATAGACTTAAATTCTTTTGATTAATATTTAATGACAATTGGACTTAAATTGACGTCAATAAAGGGACGTAAAACACACATCGTCTCAAAATCATCAGGTTTGATTTCAAAAATAAAAGCAATTCTCATCATCAGTGTGAGAGCAACCTCTGCAACTGAAATATCATAAATTTTATTTTGATCAATAAAAAGTCCAAGAAAGGTTGACAAGAGACCGGACGGGACAAATTGGCTGAAAACCTATGAGAAAGCAGTCATTTTTTTCTAATTTCTTAAATTGGTCAAAAGATAAACAAGTAATGAATGGATGCCATAGACCTACGCATCTGGGAGCAGTGTGTCGTGTACTTCAAAAACATTATAGAAAGTATCAAAACATGTCTGGTGAATATCAAAAAATTGTTCTTATAAACAGGGCTAATTTGCATGATGTTAAGCTCTGTGCTTATCTATATAATTTGTATAACATGGTCATCTATCTTCTGTCATGAATTAAAGAGCACCCGTGGATTTGGTCGAGTTATCCTCCAATGGCTGTTTCCCCCTACTGCTTATTTACGCCTAAGATAAAAAACTCCTTTTATGATATTGATACAGGCTTTAAAGTATTGGTTGACATCTTTAATTAGAATTATTAGGAATACTTGAAGACCAAATAAATAACTGCATTACGGACATACAAGCAAGTTACACTGGTCGAGCTTGGGCAGATTTCCCAGGTAATGTGATGCTTCTGATAGAAATTTGCTTTCGACTTCCGTCAGTTCAAATGGCACAAAAACTTTTCCAAACGAGCTGGCTGTAGCAACTCCTGTTGGTTCTGGTTGTTGTTGCTGCTGTTCGTCACTATTTGAGAAAACCCACCACCAAATTCCAGTGGACTTCCTGGCTTGAAACTGGACCAAAACAATGATCACAAGAACCCTTGCTAAATAATTCATTTTCAGCTTACAGTGTCGAGGCTGAAGATGTCCTTATGCAAATATCTACGAGATAAAATACATTTTAACATTAGTAGCTCCAATTTTTTCGGGAAGCAGAATGTTTTTGCCGCCCGTTGTTTATATTTCGGAAGACTCCAGCATGGGTATAGAGGATGAAAAACACAGCTAAAATACAGCTTCTTTAAATCGGGGAATGGCATTAACTTGCCAGAAACTTCCTCTATTCTAGATTTTATCTTATTATCAAATTCTCGTGACGAATAATTTAAAGAGATGCCAACCAACTATAAATATATAACGAAAAATGGAAAACCGCTCACAAGGTAAAGCTGCAAACTATGATTAATAACAAAAATGTAAATATTATGACATTAACTGATGCAATGTTGGTTTCAGTAGGCGCATTTAATGTCACAAATAGAATTCAAGCTGAGCACGAATGGAGCTTCTGTAAATAAGAAAAAATAATAGTTAATTAAACTTAAACCTTGCTAACGAATGAATCTCGTCTTTTTCATTACTTTTGAAGAGCAAGGGCGCATATTCTTTTATCTTGGGCTTGTTTGTTGGCCTTCACAGGTGGGCTGTGGATGCAGTCTCCATGACAAGCATGTGCCTCGTCGACTTTGAGCAGTTAAACAGCGCTAGTAATAAGGGCGCATCTTTTTAATGCACTGTTTCGCTGTTTCCCAATGTTGGAAGGTGATTTTAGAAAAAAATAAAGTCAAAACAAGAGTAGATACTCACTTAAGAACCTGCAATGCTTGAAAAATAAGCTCGGCAATAACACAAACATCGACCTCGACCTGTCCTGAAATGGTCAAAAGGAATATCACTTGCATTTGTTTAGAAGAATCAAGACACTCCTCTGTGAATCATGTTTCGCAGATTCCATGAAGGCGTTGAATACAATTTATTGTTTTGAGGTAGCATGCGAATCGAAGGTTGAATGTATTCCTCAAGGGGAATGAATTTTTGTGCCCCTTATTGAACATGGCCCTTGGCTTGGCATGCAAGCATGTCAAAGATTGAAATTTGATGGATTAAGAGTCCAAGTTTTAGAGTTCTGCTGGAATTGGACCATTATTTTTCGATACGCCGTTCTTACAATATTCCTCATCGTTTCCTTCATTGATTACCTCCACTTTGTGTAATTTGACCAGACCATTGCTTTTTTCACGATGAAAAATGGGCATTTTTGTTCGATGCGTGGCATATTTCTTAAATTGTAATTTAGCTTTCCTCCCAGCGGATCTAAAGCCACGATGCTCCATGCTCCATGTAGCATTTTGAAATGCTATGAAATGTTAAACCAACATTTCAGAACGTTTTATTATTCATTACCTAAACGTTTCATTTGTTAATATGATTTTAAATTACACTCTTTTTTTATAAGAACAATTTATTAAGAACACGAGCCTCAAAACTGGTCAAAAGTTAAAAACAAATTAAGAACAAGCTGAAGCTGAGCTTCTGCAAAATGCAATTTTGAACAACGTTTTTTCACAAAATCGAGGATTTTTAGCGATGTGTGGGTGCTTTTTCGGTGAATATTCAAATTTGTCAGCAAATTAAGACTGTCTCACTTACTTTTTTGGCAAATGAGGCCTGAACACCTCCTTAGAGCGAAAAAGCTAGCAATAGCACTGCTTACACCCTCTTAATTTGAGAACAAATTTAGAACAATCCAGCCTCAGATTTTCGAAAAAATTAAGAACAGTCAGCCTGAACTTTAATTTACTGGTTCTTATAAAAAAAGAGTGTATTTCAAGACAAGATATTCCTAGGGCATATCCCGGAAAATTTCCACTTTCTGTCTGAAGGTCTGTGAAAATTATACTTTAGTCTAGAGAAAAAGTTAAAGTCTCGACACTATCTGATTAGTGTGATCAAAACAGAGACTGTTTACAATTTATCTGCCTTGAACCAAACGACCCAACGGGCTCCTTGACTTGACTTAAAAGCTGTTTCGAAATGTCCCATTTTTTCTGGCTAATTTCCTTCAAAAGTCGTGAAATTCAAATGAAACGTTTATCATAATTGCACTCAATATCGTAGGCACTGCCCTTGGGTGTAACTGGCATCCCTTCTCACCTATCTCCCCTTATTGAAATTACCACAAGGAGCGCAGTGAGAGACAATTTTTTCAAAAAGACCAGAGGGGGAAGGCAAAGTTACGAGGGGGCACAAAGGTACCAAACATTCCCATTTTTTCCGACCAATTTAGAACTATAGATAGCTAAAGCCAGTGGCGGACTGGCTCAGAATTTTCAACCGGCCACGAAAAACTTAAGGGGACTTTGATGGGTATGGCCAGAGAAAAATAATGGTGTGGTCAAATGCAAAGCCGGTGCTAGAACAATTTCTTAAGGGGCATGTCAAATGTAATTTTCAATTAAAGAAAATGAGGACATTCTCTGAGGTAGAAAGTGGAAGGTACCTTCTCACCCGCTAACTACCTAACGAGCTTGTGATTCTTGAAAGGTTTCCGTCTGTTACTGTAAATAGTAATTCAAAATTTTGAAGGTCTGTCTGTAAATTGACACAAGCGCGCCCTAAGTTCAGTCCTAATTAGAGTATAGGGATAGGCTTTCCTTTGAAAATTTTTATCACAAAACTTTCTTCATTCAATCACTTAACAAAATAGGAGCCATTTTTACTCAGGTATGTTAGCTTTTTGTAGCTTTGCAACACGAGCAATAATAAGGCACACAAAAGTTTCTACCTGAGGCGGCACCATGGTTGGGCCGGTGGGCCGATGGGCCGGTGGGCCGATGGGCCGGTGGGCCGATGGGCCGGTGGGCCGATGGGCCGGTGGGCCGGTGGGCCGGTGGGCCGGTGGGCCACTGGCTAAAGCCCCTTTCCATTTCCTTCCCATCCACTGCCCCCTGCGCTTAAGGTTTGGGTAAAGTGAAAGCTGTCTTCTCTGTAACCCTCTAGTTTCTAAACTCCTACCTGTTACAATCATCGCCATGACATTTTCTCCCCTACCCTACCCCGTTTCGACGGTCGAAAACAGAGATGATATGATTCACCAAAGCATCCTGCTACAAGAGGGACCTGGGACTAGTTCCTCATGTAAAAACATATAAATACGCCATTTCTAATTTGGAAAGAAAGGATTTACGTCAGGTGGTGAAGAGAATGGAAACGTAGCGAAGACTGTAAATAGTTCATATTTGTTACATTTTTAAGGAAAGAGCGCATCTCATAGAGCCTTCCTATAGTAGCAAAAATGTCGTCAGGCCCGTCCGTTCGAGCTCTACAAGGCGAACTCAAGAAAATTCACCAAGATCCTATTGAAGGAGTTGTTATAAATCTGGTCGACGAAAGCAATTTTTTCGAATGGGACGTTGGAGTTTTCGGTGCACCAGGGACTCTTTATGAAGGGGGATACTTTAAGGTGATATATCGCTATATTTAAACTCCATAATTCGTTGTGATCAAGTTGTTTTGGCGACGTTTATTTCCTACCGAATCATTTACATAACTCTCAGCAGCAGCAGAACATAACAAGAGAACTGTGTCATTAAACGGGTAGTTAAGGCTTTTTTATATTGTCAGGACTTCCTGTGCAGAACGAAATCATATTTTAGCAACTTTGACTTCATAATACCTGTATAACTATAAAGATTTTTTTCTCGAAATAGGTTGAATTGGCCTAAATGTTTTGATGATATTACCCGAACTTATTTGAAGGAAACTTTTATAATCATGATAAAATCTAATTTAAATCAGTTTCATTGACTATCCTCTCATCAAACGACATTTTCTTTATGGTAATATTATTTTTATCATCTCAACAGGCACATCTTTCGTTCCCACAAGATTACCCATATTCACCACCGAACTTTCGTTTCTTGACAAAGATGTGGCACCCGAATATTTATGAGGTTTGTTGGCCTATTTTTTTCTGTGGAAATTTACACAACAAACTGTTAATCGAAGCATTTCTGGTGTACTTTATTACTTATTTACTATTTCCGTGGTTAATTTGATTCATAGCTCAATTCTTTTGGTATTTGAAAACGTATCTTTCAAATGGTTTCTTTCGTAGCCGCAAGTTCTTTCGCTCAGTTGCGAATAGACCCTCCGACAATATCTGTCAAGGTTGTTCGAGTTTATGCTTAGTTACCAAAGTGATATATTTTAGTATAAACTAAAACACAAGCAGAAGTATCAAGCAAACGAAGCGATGGTTATTTTTATGTTCAACGAATTATCGTCTTTTGTTTCAGTCCGGCGAGGTTTGCATATCAATACTGCACCCGCCGATAGATGATCCACAAAGCGGAGAATTACCACAAGAAAGGTGGAATCCAACTCAGAATGTCAGGTAAAGGACCCTGCAAATGAAATACCTGTTCATTGCGAAAAATTATTGCAATATAGAATACCTAATGACTGGTTGGAGTTTTCATTGGTTATTCAATGTAAAACCGTCAAATGGTTTTGCCAGCCAAAGCCTTTTACTGATGTTTTATCTTCAGAAATATATTGTTAATTAGATACATGTTATTATGATGTGAAGGAATAATAGGTGCTGATCAGTCAGCCTTATGTTGTGCAAGTAAGAAGCCTGAGGCCAGGAGAAACTTTCTGGAGGAGGGTGGGAGGGGGGAGAAGGGTGCTAAAGCAACAAACTATAGCATAGTAAACCCAACAATAGTATTTTCTTAGTCTTAACTTGGGCCTGTGCATTTTTTTACAAAGCTTATGTCCCAATGGTTACTTCCAATCTACTATTTGTAAATCACTCTTTTGTTTCTTTGCCTGTCAGCAACTATTTCAGGAAAAGATATGAAAGTGATGTTTACTAGTTCATGTTGTTGCAATTGATTTAAAGGTAGAAACCCCTTTATACAGAGTTCTGCGACCCTGAGCACTGATTCAGCAAGTTATTTTATGGCTAGTTCATTGTGAATACAATGTCTTTGGATCAATTTATAATAAGTTAATTTTTGTTTTGATCATATTTTGAAAGACAATTCATGGAGAATGGTCAAGCTGATCAATTAGCTACACCCTGTTATTTCTGACTGTTTTCAGTTCAGTGCATTTCATTTTAAATTCACCTACATACAAAGACTCTAAAATTAAACATACTTAGATGAAACTATATAAAAATGATGAAACTATGTTTTAGATTAAACTATGTAAAAAAATTTGTTTTTTTTTTCTGTAAATGTAATATTGAATACAAATTGAAGTTCAAAAAACCTGCTGGAATTCCAGCTTTGTCTCAAATAAAAAGGTATCAAAAGGGGTATCGGAAAGCTTCACCAAGGCATTGATCATGTAATCAAACATGATGTATTCAAAAACTTTTGGAGCTGTTTAATATTGCAAATTTTTTTGTCATCTAGATCTTAACACAGAATTTTCATGATTTTGACAGCTGATGAATAAAACAAAACATTGCTCTGCTTAAGTATAACTCTCAAACTTCGAAAAAAACTGCAGGCCATGACTGCCCTTTATAACAGAGTTCTGAATTCCATTGTTTGAATTCCATTCCAATTCAATTGTTTCCATTGAATCGGGCTAAGCAGGTTTTGGTTGCTGACTGTTTGGTTGTAAATAGGTCCAAATAAGGCATACAGTTTCAAGATAACTTTTCAAAATCTCAAAGTCCTGTTAGACATAATCTTTGTCTGCTATGTCACAGAATAGGGTGAAAACAGAAAGGAAACTTTGTTGATGTTGGATTTGATGCTAATGCATGCAAATATTTATTTGAGGCTAATCAAATTTGTCATCAGAGTAAACAGTCATTTGAGACAAATTTGTTGTGATAATAGCAATAGGGTGCCTTTCCTAAAAGACTGCAGCTTACTAATCAATGTTTGTCACAGATAATCTTAGGAAAAGTAAAACTGCATTGTTTTTTAACAAGTCCTTTCCCTGAAACAATGTTAACCAATCATCAGTTATCCTCCTCAGGTAAAAAGAACACAAGGTGCCACTGAGAGCTTCCACTTTGCCTTTTCTTCATTTAGTGGCTGTTTACACAAGCAAAATTTTGCCTGTTAATTTTTAGTTGTTTAATGAAGAAACATGTTTTGCATTGTAGGACAATACTACTTAGTGTTATATCATTGCTGAATGAGCCAAATACATTTTCACCTGCAAATGTTGATGCATCAGTGATGTTTAGGAGATGGAGAGAATCTAAAGGAAAGGATAAAGAATATGAACAAATAATAAAGTAAGAATTTTAAGAATTTTGTCAATCATTTATGTCAGGGGTGTACAATCCCAGGGAAAAAGATGGCCCCTGGTGGGAGACCAGGTCTCTGGCATATTGCCTGTGTTCTCCCAAATTGGAACATTTAAGACAGGGGTGGATATTTCCAGTAAAATTTGGACACCCTGGCGGTTATCCTATGTAGTGAGTGATAAGCAGCATCTAGCAGATAAAAACAGTTTGTCCAGTTTGCGCAGGAGATTGAATTGCCCAACCCTGATATGTACTTTACAATCTTATAATTGAGCAAAATTTCAGGATTGCATGGAGCAACCTAACTTGCACTATTGCATAGCAAAATTCTCTTTATTAACTCTTTCTCTATATTGCATAGCTTATTCTTGCTTTCCACTCACTCCAGAAAATGCCAAGTGTAATTGATAAGAAGGAACTGAGAACTTTTTAGATCTCCATTTTGTTTAGCAATCTCTTGGTGTGTGGTGAAGAAATATTTTGAGTAGTATAGAAATGCTGTCTAAGGATGACCAATAGCACCATTTTTGAAGTTTGTAATTTGCCTTCGAGCACATCGTGCAGTTTCTACCAATGGTATATATTGGTCATGCCAAATTACGTCCCTTATTATATATTGGTCAGGCCTTAGTTCCCTGTGGCCTGAGCTGGCTATTGTTTGACCAGCTCCATCTTTGCCAGTATCAAGCAAGCAAAGCTAATACTGCTCCAAAAGTAAATGTTTGATTCATATGATGAATATGCTGACAAATATTTAAAATTTAAATCTCCTTATCAAGAACGTAGGCATCTTAGTTTCCTACTTATATTCAGTTGACTTATAAAAAGTAAAATGGAATTTGTCACATAATGGTCACCAGTTACTGGTATGTGAAGAGCAGTCCACATGTCATCAATGCTGATGATTGTTTATCAAGAGGTTTTTGAATAGGGCATAATTATAATATAACGATATCCATTTTTACTGATGATTTTTCAAGTTGCTTTTGCCAATCTTGTATTGGAAATTGTGAGATGTAAGTTCGAGAAGCATACCTAATTTGATTATCAAGATGAAAGTTGGTGTTGCATAAAAATAGAAATAACCTGCCTAATGGAATTATTTCCCCACCTGCAACTATAGTTTGTCTACCTGTTTTGCAAAACAGTTGATATAATGGGGAAAATAATCATTTTATCAGCTGGAAATTTCAATATTTAAAGCATTCATGGTAGGAATTGTACAAAGCGTAATACATGATTCATATTATGAACATATAAATATCTTGACTGTAGTCTCTACCACCAAAGTCAAGTAAATAAAACTTCTTAAATTATGTCGAATATCTAACGTGTTTCTAGTATGTGAAGTTTTTTTAATATTTTATGAACCTTGCAACTTAAAGTGTTGAAGTACCACAATGGTATTTAGTCAATAGGGATACAGAATTGAGTTCCCTGACACTTTCAACCCACAGGCAATATAAAACTGTGTTAGCAGTATAACATAACTAGGCTTAACAAACAGAGACTGAACAGCTGCTTTGGTAAGCAAACTTGCATCAGTAAACAGCTAATCTTCTGCTCAATCTCAAAGCGTGGAATTCTGACGTGAGTTGGCTGCTTTATCACCATTTATATCAGAGAGATTCTATCAAATTGTCATTTTTCTAAAGCCAAACCAACAACTTTCCCATCAAATTTAACATCTACCAGGCAGCTCTTTCATATAACAAGGATATTTACACTACTTATTTATTTAGCTCGTGGTGAAGAACATTGTATTGAAGATTTCGCCAATTAATTTCCTTCAAGCAAATTTTACGAATATAATTGCGTATATGTGTCAACAAATGTAGGACTTGGACAGACGCATCGCTTTGAATATATGCTTTTACAAAGGGATGGTATCGGATTTGATTAACAACGTTGCCAGGAAAAGTTTTTTCAACGTTTTATTGTCCAAACACTATCTCAATATTTGTAAATGTTCGTTTTTCAATTTTCCGCGTTTAAATAAAGGGTGCATGACAAAGTCCAGAGCAATAACTCTATCTTCCTGACACATGAGGATAAGCTTCCAGACCCTTCCTCTATAAACAAAGTGAACAAGAATTGTGCTTCGGGCTCTTTTCTCGAATCACTTTCTTTTGGAAGTGCAAGAACCTGTCTTATTGTTCACAACGCATTGTTGGATGTGTAAAGTAAATGGTCCTCGCAGTAAACAAGGCCACCTGTTTTAAATTCTGCCGATGAGGCTGGGGTGATGTTGCGTACCCATGTCATGTTGGGGAGACAAATCCAACAACCTCGAGGTACATTTGTGCCGTGTGATGAGAAATAGCTCTGAAATGCACAAAATGGCAGGGTCCACGAAAGTGTTTTCCCCTTCTTCCTGACGAAACCCTTCAACTCGAAAAAATAATGAAAAAAGCTAGATTTGGGCGTGGTAATTCAGTTTCTTTTGCTTCTTAAAGACAATCTGTCTCGTTGTGGATTGGTTAAAGAGAACAATAGCTGGAACAATAGCCTAAACACTATTCCAGCGCTCCACCATATTTTTTACAATGCGATAAATTAAAGGGGGACTGGAAACAATAAAAAATCCTTTTGTTCTTATAATCAATCAACGTCGTGACAGATTGCCTTTAAGCCTGGTTCCCACTTGGTCGTTTGGGTCGTTTGGGTCATTGGAAAATGCCCAAACGACTGAAAAGACTCAGTGGAAACACACCTGCAAACAACCCAAAAGACCTGAAAGACTCAAACGACAGTTGTCGCAGAGATAGAAAAAATTCTATCTCCGGGACCCAAAATACCCACGCATGAATGATTTTTGCAAGTGGAAACCGACAAACGACTCAAACGACTCAAACGACCCACGCTTTAGTAACTTTTCTTCAAGAATATGAGATTTTCTTGTAACTGCGTGTTTGACTAGAACAAGAACAAGATAGCTGAATATTTCACAGCAAGCTTTATGGAAGAAGTTCAAAAATACGAGTGCCATTATAACAATCACTGGAAAGAGTTTAAAAGTAAATACAAAAATATCAAATCATGGCAAGATATTGCACTGAAATTTAGTGATCTAACATCGTCGTCTGTACAAAGTCACCAGAGGTAGAAATAGTTGACTTTGCAACATCAGTTGTTGTTTATCAAATGTTACCATCGTTCCTTCCACGCATGCCGCCAAAATTAAATGAGCGATGCATGGTGCAAGCAATGAACAGCATCAACAACAAACGACTCAAAAGACTCAAACGACCAAGTGGAAACCAAACCAATGTGTTCTTTGGGTCGTTTGTGTCTTTCAGGAACGACTCTGACGACTCAAACGACCCAAACGACCAAGTGGGAACCAGGCTTAAGGGCTCTCCTAACTGTTATTTACCGAATGACGGCCATGTTTGCTAGACTTTCACAAAATGGTGGGTGATACCTCTTGGAAGTTGCTACGGTATATCCACAACTTGATAAGGAATGTTGAAACCCGACAGATCTGAAGCGCGTATAAACATAGGCGTTGCTGGCGCTCGCAATAAAGGATTAAAAATTCTCATATTAAAGAATTAATGTTGCATTAATTGAAGTAGATTAGATAAATTAAAATAAACGCCTTATATTGTGACTGAGGATGTCGTTCTGTTTTACAGGAAACAGGTCAGTAAAAGCAGGACAGATGCAGAAAAAGAAGGCATCGTTATTCCAACAACAGTTGAAGAGTACTGCATCAAATCAAAGCCAGAAAGCCAGTCATCCGAGAACTTTATGGACCTTACTGATGACTGGTACGAAGACTTTGACGCCTATGACGACGATAACGACGAGGAGTGTTTTGATAACAGTGATGATTCAGGAAACGAAGACTCGTAATGAAAATCACAAGTAGGCCGCATTTTCACATCACGAAAGCCATGTCACTTGAGATTTGTGAACATGTGCAGCTAAGATAACACCAGCACTCTGCCTAGTAACATAATCAAAAGAGTTTATTGTAACATTTGTATAGTTGTTGATTAATAAAAAACCGGCAATGTAGAAAATATGTATGTTCTTGTTAGCGGGTGGTCAGTGCAAAGCGTGTTACAGTTTGTAGCTGAAACGGCTCTGTTTGGTTTGCAGGCAGCAGTGACTAGATCCAAGTCTCCTGGTAATTTTAAAACCCAAACGCAATTACCTCTTTTACACCTGAATTATCTTGCCCTTGGTCTTTTTTGGGCTCCGCAAAATTTCTAAGTTAACGAATTCGCATACGCTACGCGGCCCAGCTTAGAACCTCCCGTTCTAGGTTGACCAGCAGTAAATTGATGACTATATCCGCAGATCTCACGTTTTCTTTGTAAGGCACGAAAGAAGAACAACTAAAATGTAGGACAGGAGTTTTTTCAGGACTATCGCCTTTTGTTTTAATGTTTTCATAACAGATGGAAATTCTTAATTTCCACGTAGTGTATGCTCCCCTACCTTCCGAGACTTAGACTTTCCCACAATACAGCAAAGGTTATTTTCAAAATCCATCAAAAAACATCTAGTACTACCTTTTATCATAAATTTCCTGATTCCCTTTTTGCTCACCAACCTTATTCTTTATGATTAGAGTTTACTTAATTAATAGACTCGCAAAACCTCCCATCATGAAACTTAACCAAAGATCGATGAAAAGCATTTGAATACGAACATGGGGAATTGAAATCTACAGTAACTCCCATTTAGGCCGCATTGACCCTCCGTTTTATTGCATGTATATTCATATGTTGATTACCTTCTTAATACAGACGCCGCCAAATGCTGGGGTTTCTGGTCAGAGATTTGGGAACTGGGAGGGAGACCTAGGGACATATGCTCTTAAATGCATGAAAAGTATTTCTGTTTTATCCCCATGGCAGAGTGCCTATTCAAAGCTTTGTATCCCTCAGAATTTTTGGCAGCTCTGATTTGTGCCGCTGCCATACTTCTGTGTTATTTGTTGCTTTTCACAGCGCAAAAATAATTCCAGTAACATGGCGTGTTTTGGATAGATAGGATTGTTGATAACATGCTGTTGTTGTTGTCATTGTTGTTGTTGTTGTTGTTAGCATACTGTTTGTATTTTTTGGCGCGAATAACCTTACTGCATTATACATATTTCATTAATTATCTTATACGTCTTTCATTGTGTCTTGCTGCTTTTATGTCCTAATTTAAAATGCCGTGAACGTAATTCAAGGCCACATTCACACGGGAACGTGAACGTAACGTTGCAATAGTGTTCCAGATTTTGAAAGGAATTGAAACATGGGAAGGGAATTGAACGGAGAGATTGCGTGCCGTTCCACTTTTTGAACCCCTGTTGAAAGAGCTCCAGTATTGTATAGGAACAATTTATTGCTTTCCTGTGTGAACGCAACTTCTGACCACTTCATCTTTTGGAACGGCGTGCAATCGTTCCGGCGTGGGACATCATCAAACAATAGATGAGGAATATTAAGACAACGTCTCTCTTCTTTGGTCCATGCCTCGTGCAGCTTTTTCCCTCGTGCAGGTGATATCCAGACAACACATGTTTCCCTAGAATAACTCCGGTCCGATGTCCAGTAGATAGAAATCCGACCGTTGTAAGATATGCCCCGGCAAATAAACAAAATTTGTTGTAACTGCATTACCACATACCGCGAGATAAAATTTCTCGCAAGATTGATAGCAGGATAAAATCTCGATCGAACTCTGTTGACTAAAGATTTTATCAATATTGCAAATAGCTTTTCTTTCATAAAAATATTGTGAACGATAAATGGTAGAAGAATAAAAAAAATTACCAGTTTAACAAGAAACAGAACGTTTTCTGAATTGGAAGCAAATATTTTCCAAAATGAAATTAAAAATGGCTTTTTCTCTCTAGTTTATAAATTCCTAATAAAATTAGCACTTCAGAGTTGAATAGATCTTTTCTATTGTTGATTTTAGTTTATTTACAACAATACTGCTAGGACATTTGTTGCACGTACCAACTTAACATCGTACAAACAAGCAGACGACTGAGAGCCAGATTTAACGAACACAGACGAGACATTATCAACAAAAAAGTAGATGAGTCTGGTTTTGCAGAACATTTCTGCAGCCCAGAACATACCATCAATGACCTTATTATAACACCATTACTGCAACTCGATGGGAAACGAGAGAGTCATCGACGAGCCAAAGAGCAATACCTCATTGGCTTAGCATACACTCTCACACCCAACGGCATGAACAGAACCACTGACCGTTAACCTTACAGCAACATTATCATTATTTCATATTAAAATACTTCATCCCCATTAAATTTTCATTCCACCACCACCACCCACCCTCTCTCATTCGTCACCTTTCTCTCCTCCACCACTGCGCTGCATTCACACCATTTCACACCAGCCAATCCGACACCACCATCGCCTCTTTTAAATGTGTACATTTTTAGTCCGTTTACTTTTGCTCTGATGAAGCCCCGTATGCCGGGGCAAAATATTAGCCTTCACTAATTTACGTGTAATTATTGTTGTTCATTCTCGTCGTATTGCGGTGTTTCTTATTTGCTACATAAACTTATGTTTTGTTGGTTTCTTTCATTTCAAAGTAAAATTTGCACGAATCGGAAACATCTGAGAAAACCTAAAGTCTCTGAGAAAATTAAATTGGAGTTCGAATCCTCTATTTACAATCTTTTCATATGATGGTGTGGAAAAAGTAGCAAATTATATGTCATTCTCATCAAACAATCGCCAGAAAATTGAATGTTTAGCGATGATATTAGTGTATAAAAATAGCTTTAAATAGGCAAACAAAACATTAAGTTACAGGAAAAGTGAAAAAAGAAAAATTATCAAATTATATCAATTAATTGACTATTTCTTGAACAAGTCTGAACAAAAAATTAATCCAAAATTCAATGTCAAATAAATGTTATACATTACTTCAATGAAAATTACGTTCATTTTTATGAAAATTTGTTGATGATTGTTCATACCGATTGCTGATTTTTGCTTTCTGCCCAACTTTTGTCTGGACTAACTTCATCACTTTTTCAGCTGTAAAAAATGAGACGAAAAGAATACTGACAGGCAATACACATATAATCTAAAGCTGACTCTCAACACAAAACTATTGCAAACTGTTTCAACTTCGAAGTTGGATTGGTCTAATCTAGCGCTTCAGAGGCTTGGTCGCTTTAGGCCGGAATCATTTAAAGCTACAAACATTTGCCTTTATTGTCAGAAGAACTGGTCCTGATTTCGCTTCCAAATAAAATTGCCAGATTGCTAAGGGATTTAAATCGGCCTTGAGCAGTGACGAAGGGAGAGGGTTGGAATTTCGTTCTGTGGACTAAGCCATTGGTAATTAATTGCAGCTGAACTTAAGAGAACACCTTAGCTAAATTGTATGTATTTTGATGCATGTAAACTAGATCGCAATCTTCTAGGTCCCAAAATCTGCACTCTCGGCTCTTTTGGGATTCTTTTGAAATGACAGATGCTGCTCGGTTTGTCATCAGCTTACGATGGTATCCAGTTGGGATTTCGATGCAGCTGATAGTTGAAAAAGGTTTTAATTGCTTATTTAATTATTTATTAATCAAAGAACGCAATTTGATTCATGTTGAGGACAGTTGATATATGACTCGAAAAAATAGATAATTTTGGACATGTTGTGAGCCATTTCTTGTTGTTGGCTGGTACAAACCACACAGTGACTATGATGATTTCTTTGAGAGTAAAAAGCTCTTACTTTTCTTGACAAGGAGGGCAATGAAATTACCTTCCTTGGAGATAAAAATTGCTTTCTTGCCGTAAAATCGATAGACTCTCATAGGGAAGTTTCTTTCATCTTGGGGCCAAAACATGGAATGGAACGAGATTCCAAGAAACATGGAATGAGATTCCAAGAAACATGGAATGAGATTCCAAGAAACATCAGAATGAGCCCCACAATTTCCATGTTTAAAAGAAACTTCAAGGGATTCCTACAAAGTTTATAAATTCCTAAGACAAAACACAATCCCTAGGTAGAACAGCAACATCTTAATTTTATATCAAATAATTAATTTGTAGTAGAAGTAGTGTATTTATATTATAGCTGATAGGGAATTCGTGTATAAAGATTTTAAAATGAAAAGACAATGAAATGGTCAAGCATGGGATATTAATGCTAAACCCATTTGTAGTTTGTATAAGCTATTCAGTTTAAAATAGCCCACTGTAGAACCAACGAGAGTCACTTTAAGACACTGCTACAGTCGTTAATCATGTCATCACAGCATGTTTCAGGAAGATCACAAAACGAGCTTATGGTGGGTGGCAAAAAACGAGCTTTTCCTTATCCTTGAAGTCACACCTCAAAATGAAAATTAAAAAAGTAACATACCTTATAATGAACTTCTGGAAGGTCCCGAAGTGTCTTCGCAGCCTAAAATGATCGGTTTATTCCCGTTATCACTTATACAGATTGCGAAAAAATGTCCACTGATTATAATGTTCAAAGTCGAGCGAAATTTTTTTCAGAACATGGCCTCAAAATGTTTTATTTATGAAACGAAACACCAATCTTTGACTAAAGGCCTGCCTTCTCAAGGAAGATTTGAATTGAACATGGAAAGCAAAACATCATAAAACGTAAATATGACATCGAAACATCATGCAATTTCGCGCAATTAGCAAAAACCACATCATCCGAAATTGGAACATGTGCCAATCTTTTCTATATGCTGAAATGTGTCAAAATAACCACCTGAATCACTCTATTTTACATCTGAACGTATTTTACATCTGAACGTAAGCAAGGGTTGCAAGCCGTATTTTACGACCATAATTTCGATGCAAGCATATGGATCTAATAACTTTTTAGTCAGATTCCAACGCCCTGATACATATCAAGTGAATCAGATTATAGATTACAAAAACCAGAATTATCCTTCAAAATCATTAAAAAGCAGAACATCCTATAAAATGTAAAACCCCTTGAAGATTTTCGTTCTGAATTTGTCTGTAACAATAATTTTCAGATTAAAAGTTTTGCAAATCATTACTTGCCTGTTCTGCAGTGATATCTCTTTGGGCTTGAGCTAGCATTTCGTATCCAACCATAAATTTCTTTACCTACCATAGAAGATGAGCAAAAAACTGAGTGTATCTATTAAAGTATATAAGAGCTACAATGGAATTAAATTTTATAGAATCAGGGCCGTTCCTTTCGAAAACGTTTTGATTAAAAAACCAGGATTTTTTGCCAGCTATGGTTTCTTTGTCCGTCGTCAGTTTTTCAAACTTTTAGGCAGGGGCGGACATTTGATCAAATATTGGGGGGCAAGCCTATTGTTTTAATAAGATGACGTCACATTTCCCATTGTTAAAAAAACAAAAGACCATTGTCTTCCAAAGTATTGGGGGGCGGTCGCTCCCCCTCGCCCCCTCCCCACAAGTGTCCGCCACTGCTTTAAGGCAAATAAAGTGTGGCAGAAGGGCCAGGAAACCATCCTTTTGCACAACAGTTCGGGACAGCTTTGAGTAGAATTAAGGATAGAGGAGATTAAAAAAAATTATAGATAACATATTTAATGGAATAACTGCTGATGTCTGTGACGCAAAGTTCATTTTCGATAAAGGAAACACTTCCAATACAGTGTAATAACAAAAAGCAAAAAAGGGCATAAGTCTTCTTAAGTTACTCTTCATATACACAAAATAATACCTGAATATATTTCGAGTCCCAAATTCTTAAAACTCGTTAACCTCAAATAAATCATTTTTAGGTGACACAAGAATTGAAACGAAGTTCAAATCTTTGGTACTGTCTTTTGTCGTCATGATAAAATATAAGGAAATAAACATATTAGCACAATAGAAGCTTGATGATTGTACCTTAAAAAACATTTGTCTGGCTACAGCAAAAACCGGCAGACAAATATTTTTTCGTCAATTAAACATACAATATGAAAGCAGAGTGGACAAGGAGCCACCTTAATTTGGGAAAGAAAATCCCTGGCTCTTTTATGCTGGTTTTCAATGTTTGTTTCTTTATTCATTCTTAATATCCTCCTATTTCCAACAGAAAGTAAATAATAAGATAGACAGATACTTGAAATAAATCGTAATAAAACTACAAAAATAATTGCTGTTGCTACTCTATAATTTCAAAAGATAAAAATTTTAAAAAAGTGAATACCGTTGCTGATCTCAACAATGGTGGATAATAGTGAGCATGAAGCTGCCAATGGCTGGAAAAAATAGAAAATAACATGATGCTTGATGTTTGGTAACATGATATTCAGAACATAATGTAGTGCTAATTTTAGATTTTCAAATATTGTCATTTTATCAACAAAGACGTTTCAGGTATAGTACGTTATCAAGTGAATTGTCGTTTCCAACAAAATTTTAAGTTTCCTCGAACAATTTTACCTTAACTTCAAGTTTTGAAATTGTACGACACGCAAGATAGAATATTTATCTAATGTAAAGTTGCTCGTACTAAATACAAAATCAGATTTCTCATGCAATCAGACTATTTCGGTTATTTGAAATTTCAAATGTTAAGGTTTTTTTGTTAAAGACTCATTGCTAACAATGGGCCTTTGCGAGCGTGGCGACGAACCAAACAATGGCAGTAAACTGTCTTCAATGGCAGTAAATTGATTTCAGACTGTCTAAAAATGCATTATGGGATGCTTGAGAAAGCAAACATTTTACAACATATTGGCTAAAAGCTTTATATTGTAAAATGTTTGCTTTTTTCAAAGCCATTTTCAAGTTCTGTACCGCCAAAAAACTGTTCAAAAAATCTTAAAATCCAATTGCTTAGAATCTTATTTTTGCTAAAACGAACTCTTTCATCACAAGGAATAAAGAAGAAACGCTTTATACATAATATGCATAGAACGCTGTCGAAACATGCAGATATTTCCTCTATGCTTCAAAGCTGTTCTGTGACTTATGTAGGATCTTGCCTGGTGTGCTTATCAAGTGAATTTTTAATGTAAATCACACAAAAGGTACGCAGTTATTGAATTCAGCACCGACTCTATTTGAATATTGCGATGTATATTACGCAAGAAGTCCTGACTACTATGTCGGAAAGAACAGTCTATTAGACGCTGCAGATGCAAAACTGCATTTCCGAACGACAAAATTCTCACGACTCAAAACGTTGATTTGAGAATGGCAATTTCTGATGAATGATTTTCTGAAAAAAGTAGAGAAAAGAACCTCCACTGTTTTCGGTTGAGGTTTTGATAAACAAGAATATTGCCTCGACCACCTACCTGCAATCTTTGTCTTTAAATTCTGGCCCTGTAGGTGCACCTTTGAACCAAAAAGTATTACATGAAGCAATCGTTTTCACATATAAATATCAGGGTGTTACAATTCTAACAACATCTTAAAATAAGGTGGATCATTCTTTAAATGTTTTTTCTCCTCAGATAAGTAATAGGTATGGTTTAATTAAAGGTAACAGCCACGCAAATGTTAATTATCAACAAAACAACCTAAATTATTCCCATAGACCATCATGAACGTAAAATGATTCTTCTACCTCTTTGGTAGAAAAAGGAATTAAACGTTTGATCAAAGATATAGTTGCGATTATTTTCTTAAGAGTTTTAATGGCCTTAATTGATATACAGAAATCTTGATCATTTCAGAAATTTGCTAACCCTTTTAAATAAGCATCTTCCTGCGTACAAAGTCTAAGATTTCTCTCCACGCAGGCTACAATGCCATCAGACATTATTACACCTGCATAAAATCAACAGTTTCAAGTTTGAAGTAAAGGCTTCATTCAAAAGTTATCTTTCAACATCAGCAGTACTTTGAAGATGAACATTTCAAAACAGGGGCATTTACGATATATATCATCAAAATCAAACCATAGCTGGAAACATCTTAGATTTAGAAAAAAACAAGGGGCATTCAAATGCACAACAACCCCTAAATTTACTTCTCACAGAGCAGAATTTTGCGATATCGAAAGTTTTTGTTATGAGAGTAGAATGTCTTTGTTTACTTCCGTCAAGGTTCTATTATCTTAAGATGTGTAAATATTGTCTGTGAGAAGCTGATTTTTTGACCGACAACGCAGGTAGCTACCATCATGGAAAGAAAACAGTAGATTACTTACCATGCCAACCCATAGAATATGGGAACGAGGTGTTGAATAAATTATCATATTTAATCAACAACTGTTTCATAATCCTCGCCAAATCTATGAAAAATTCAGAACTGCATAAAGGGATTTGCAATTAGTTAAACAACGAACTCGGGCTAGCAAGAGAACAAGTACAATGAAAACATTTACACCTGACAGATAGTGAAGTTTATGCAAGTTTTTTTGTGAAGTGTAGTTTGAATGAGACGGTTCTAAAGAAGTAAGAAGCAAGTAAGATATCAAATGCAACAATGAGTTCTAAAGAAACACCTAAAATGCAGAAAATGAGAGACTGCAAGCACGCTTGCCTTCCAGAGTTTCTGCAATACCACAAATGTAAACATTGCACTGTTGTAAATTTTTTGAGAAAATTTAATGTTCTAACAACGAGAATAAATTGCTAAAAAAGAATGGAAATATGTTTCTTCAATCAAAAAATAGACTACATACACTTAAATTTACAAATTAACAAAATGAACATAGAACAATTCTGTTACAGGAAAATAACTTGGTTACAATTAAGCTCTTAAATGGTGATCAATTAAAGTGCACGACAGTGCTTCTCATTCAATGAGAAATCAATATCGCTTGCTTTCCTTTAAATTTTCTACCACGTGGAAAAATATAGATTCTAGACATTATCAACCAGTGCACAGAGTTTTGTTTGAACATAAGCTCCATGTTCCATCGAAAAAGAAACAATTCTTGTGCTATCTACCAAGCCATGAAAAACCGGACACAACGAAGCATTATACACAAACAAGTATGATATATTGCAATGCTAGAATCATTATCTTAAAGAGAATGAACATTCAAAAGAATCAACTAGTACATAGCAGAAATAGTAGAAAACCTTGCTTCTGGTGTTCAGAAAGGTCGGCAAGTCGAAGAGTCTTTTCTTTTGGTAGTAATAAAATTTCATAAGGCCATGTTGCCCTAAATTCAAGGTGGCAATAAAAGTGAAAAAATCAATAAAACGTTGCTTAGGTATTTAGACTTTATGAACAAAACTTCACAAAACGTTTTGTTTCTTTAGCAGAAAACGAGCATCCCACACTCCCTATGGGAACAGAGTTAGTTTTCTATAAAACGACGTAGGAGATCAGGAAGTCAGTTTTCTCGTACTACTTGTATGATATTTGCCCCAGCGTTCAACTATGTCCTGGGGAGAGGGGGCAGAAAAGTGATATTTGGGGGAAAATTACAATTTATTGCCTGGCGTTCCAAGTAATTTTGATAGGTATTGTATATGTTCTTAATCCGGTTAAGAGAAAAGAGACACATACATAATAAGATACTTAGTTCAAATTCTGTTTGTGGTAGGAAAATAAGGCGGATGAAGCATTCAACAAAGATCTTTTCAAACCAAAAAATACAAAATTGGACCAGTCAAAAAAATTTGTGTGGCCGGCGATAAACAAGGCAAGAAATACCGAGCAATGTATGGCTTTGAAAAATAATTTTTTTCCTTTTTAACCTCGACACAATGTACCTATTTTCTGGATGTAGAATCCTGGTATTGCGAAAAAAAAATATAGCATGTCTCTGTGAATTTTCTCAGATCAAGAATGTTTTTTAGTATTTTCACTGGCAATGTTCGCTTTGCAAATCTTTTTCCATAAACTCCCTTTGCCAAACATCGAAAGCTGCCACCAAAACTGATGTATTAGTAAAGTGGACAGGTAGCTCTCGAAAGAATTCAACTAATACAACGAAGGCGATAATTTTGAGAGTAAAAACCAGAAAACTTAAAATTTTAGATTAATAAAAAATCAACTGGCAACATTTATCAGTCCGAACAATAAATCATCTAGTTTTACTTACCAATATGGAACAACAGCAAGCCATGAAGCATTTTCGACGACAATTCTTTCCTAAAACAAAATGGCCTAGTTCATATTTACTTACTATAAAGTGCAAATAGCTTTAAGAAAACCAAATATGGTACGATAAAATAAAGCTTTTCATCTTCGGAGAATAGAACGTCAGAATAAGAAACGAAAATATTGGTCACACAGTGCACAGTTTGAATATTATTTGAGAAAATTTGAGAAAAAAATTAATGACAGTAGAAAAGGCTATTTAGATTTGGAACCATTATTATTGTAAGCTTCAAAATAGACTGAACATATATCTATAAGAATTGACCTTCTCCTTTTGTTCCAGTTCAAAATAATCCATCAACAGTGGTTTCTTGTGCGTGTCAAGATATTTTCTCTGCATCTCATCCTAAAAAGAATATAAAATGATAAATGAAACTACCTATGCAAAATTGGTTTTGAGGATAGCTAGATAAAGAGTTTTTAAGTGATGACGTCACAAAATCTATCTTTAGAGTTGAAAAAGCATCATGACATACCTAAATGTGCAAATTCAATTAAATGTGTTATGAATACACTCGAGATGGAGCAAATAGCCAATGTATCATTTTTAGTTTAAATTCAAGGCCTTGCAGCAGTGGTGGTGCCAGGGGAGGGCTAGGGGGGCTACAGCCCCTTCATTGGAAGCATCTAGCCCCCCATCGGAGGAAATTTTAGGTTATTGTCGGAGCAAATTTGACAAAATAACGTACGAAAACTGCTTATTTTTAGTCATTTTAGCCCCCCTGTTGGAAGCTCCAACCTCTCTGTTGGAAGATTTCTGGCGCCACCTCTGCCTTGCAGGCCCCTATCTCCATATTTTTTAGCCCATCAATTGTAGAATCGCAACCTTTATTGGACCAAAAAGAAGATGCTTTTTGGCAAAACAATTCTCGGGAACCCTTTAGCTCTAAAAATGTGTCCTTTTAGGGACCTATTTGGGGCACCTAAGACTGGAGGGGGCTTTTGGGGTTGCTCTAACCCTAACATTAGTACAAGGTGCCTTTGTACTCACCTCAAGCCTGGCTTCATTTGGTAATGATGAACTAGCCCAGATCTAAAAGGAAGTAATAATTGTCATCAGAGGAATAATTTTGCAAGAAAGATGTAGAATTACTACAGCAAGAGGTAATGAGACAATTCTTCTCAATCATGATATGTCATTGTGAATGGAATCAGTATGATGGCTTCTGTAACAATGCAACATGCACTTTCAAGTACAATTCCTCAAATTTCAAAATGAAACATGAACAAAGAATAACATGTACTGTAGACCAGGAAGCATTTGCTTTGTTGCTCTGGAATCCCATTCTAATTCAATTCTACACTATCTACTTCAAATTTGATTCAATAAAATTTTATTTTATAATCTACTTCATGTTAGTGTTTATTAGTTTTATAACCAATGTCTAGCTAACATCAAGTAACATTTTTGCTGATGAATCTAAATTGAAATGCTTTCCAAATAGGCTGCTGCACCCAATGAATACCTGGCAATGAGGGTGTGGATTTGAGCATCCCATTATATCACCTTTGTTTTCAAAAATCTGAAAAAAGACAATTTATAAACAAAATATGATTGATATAACATGGAATTTCATTAACATGGAACTTCAAGAAAGATAAGGAACTGGCCTGCCTTAGCAAAAGTCTGACATATTTAAAGTACAACTTTGGTCATATATATAGTAGGAGAATCCAATGGAAAGTGAAGACCAGTTCGACTTATTAAGAGTATGACTTAATGGGATTCAGCTGTAAATGAAATCACTTGGGTAATGACACAGGAATTGGCCTTGATAGCACTGATACTCCCAACTATTTTGCTTATATTTGATACAATTTAGAATCAGAAACAAAGAGAGGAAAACAGTTACTCAAACATGCATGCTGCTTGCAGGTTAAACCTCCTAATATAGGAGCACAACATGGGAGGATGTTGCTTATTTGACAATATTCGCAGTATTAAAACTAATCTTTTGATGAAACTTTTCAACAGATATATTGTCCAAAGTGAGCTGCAAGAATAGCTTTATTCAACTTGCAGGCATTTAATAGCTTGTTCTGTATGTTTTCATGGCTCTTTCTAACTTACCTGAACCCAAGTATACGTTTCACCCAGCTCCTTTTGTTCCTTTGCCCAGGCTTCAATGACTGATGCAATCTCTTCCTGACTCATTAGAGGTAGTGACAAATCTGAGTGTGGATGAAAACACATTACTTTGCTAAAAGAAAAAACAAACAAAATACACCTTTGTGGGAAAGGATAAGGTCAACAAGAATTTCTCTTTAAAACTGTATTGCTTCAGACCAATTTTAAAATTTTTTATTAAGATGATTATTTAAATATCAAAAGCATAAGTTTTTATGTGAAAATTTATAACAAATTCATAGTCTGGTAATCTGGCTGCCAGATATTCAAGCTTTTCTGACACTACTAGCAAAAATTAATTACTAGCAAAAGCCCCTAACAGTGGCGGCTGGCACGAAAATAAGATGATACAAGCAAAGCAAAAAACTTTTAGCAGAGTGAACCAGCTAGAGGAAGGGTGGTGCAGGGGCGTGGTCCCTGGGAAATATTTGTTTTTATTGATAATATGGGGAAATTGTCTTTTAATGGCAGGTCATAAGTTTTCATACAATACTATGGTTTGTTTGACGTCATATGATAATTCCAGCTTCAGGGGCAATATTGGCATAGATAATTTTATCATTAGAAAGAGGAATCTATTATGCAAATGATTTTTCATTGTTGGATTGTCAAAACGGTTTTATGTCACGTTGAGTCACAAATGACAATGAGACAGACTTCTGCAGTACTGGATGAATGAGGTCTAGTACTGTTGTGGTGTACATAAACAGCTTATTTAATGTCACTCTTTCAATGAGAATTAAGATAAGGAGGGTCAGAATCAAAATATGGTGTATTCAACTGCTCTTCCCTTTTTATCATTAATTCAATTATGTACCATAAAAAAGCACTAGTACCGCTGCAAGTCGCCACTAGTACCGCTGCAAGCCGCCACTGGCCCCTAATGGTAGTCCAAAAATATCTTACCATGTTCCCCTTTCTGCTCTGCATTTTAAAAGAGGATGAGATGAATGTCCTTGAAAGAAAGATGACACATTTTACTTCATAATTTATGCATGAAACTATAAAATTGTTTTCTCAATGGCAAATCTGTAAAAACCATAAAAATTATATTGAATTTTCAAATATAATATAACAAAATACGAAGAAAAAAGACATTTTCCAAGAAATTACTAGCTTATTATTTAAAAAGATTCAGATTTCTTTTTGTAAACCTTGACAAACCAAAATTAAGTCTGATTACTTCATGAAATTTTAAGGAAATAGTATTTACCAGATTCTGGTGTGTCCTCCAATAAGGCTGGAAAATCATTGGTAAATAGAAACACTCCTTTATAATTTGGATTTACCTTCAAGAAAAAAATAATTATATATGAATAAAGAAAGATGTCACGCATGATACCATCATTCTGGTTGAGGATGTTAGGGGAAGGCTTATGGGTCTGGCAAAGCCCCGACAAGGGAAAGGAGAGAGGGTTTGGAAGAGAGGGAGGAGAGATCAAGCTTGCTTGAAAGGAGAGGACAGATTATTAGATTTGAAAGGAGAGGATAAAGCATTATTTCAGATTTTACATAATATTTGCAGAATAAAGACTCTATAACACTGTTAGATGCATATTAGCAAAACTAAGGATCAGCGCTCACAATCTTCAAATTGAAACAGGGCGATTTAGTAAAAACAAAACTCCAAGAGATGAAAGGTTTTGTCCGTATTGTAAGACTTTAGATATTTTGAAAGTTGAGGATGAAGTACATTTCCTCTTAACTTGCCCCCTTTTTAACGAGGAACAGCAAATTTTTTTACAAAAAATCCACAAAACATTTCCAAATACTTCCGCGTTGAACGAATTCAATATGTACATTTGGTTAATGAGCCAAGAAGATTATATTACAACAAAGGTTTTAGGAAATTTCTGCAAAAAGTCCTTTGAAAAAAGATCAAAATTTTTAAGCGACCCCACAAGCATTTTAGATTAACAGCTAGTAATTTTGTAGCTTAGTAGCTTTTGCTGAAAATTTAGCTTTGTATTCGCCGTTGTTGTTTTGTTATTAATGCGTAGTTAAAAATGTAATTGTAAAATTGTAATTCGCTGTAGTACTGTAAGCAGTTAAGGGCCATCTCGGCCTAGATACTTGAATTGCAAAAAAAAAATAACGATACTGCAATGTTGAAAGAGGAAAAGTTGCCTTTCTGTGGAGATGAATTTGCGTTTTGTTGTGAATGTTAGTTTAGCAGGTTAAGCTAAAAACTAAAATTATCAGAAACTGAGTCCCAGAGAACTATTGTTTAGTTGAACCCTTTCAAAAAACCTTGAGAAATTTCCTTACAATTCCATTTGACCTTGTGTTCCCCGGTCCAAGGGGATTTTTTGGATCGTACTTCAGTGTCTCTGTTTCAGGAGTTTTCTCTGTCTTTCCTTGCCATGGTCTTTTGGTTCGATGTGGTGATACAAGAACCCAATCTCCTCGAAGTGGATTAAATCTGCTATGAGGATGCTCGCTAAACTTGAATTTTTGCTCGGAGGTCATCTTCCCTGTCCGTACTCATTCAACAAGGAAGTGTAACCTCGTATTGGTTCTTAAAATTCTGGGACAATGATATAGAGGCGCTTCAAGATCATAGTTCTGGGGGGCTCGAAAAGGAAAACACTCTGTTCATAAACAAAACATCTAGGCTGCAGTTATCAGAAATCACTATGAAATAACTTAAAACAAGTGGCTAAACTTACGGCCGGCACAACGTCATTGACAGTGGGGGCATAATATTGAGGCTGAGCCCCCTTGTGTTAATGCAAAAAATTTGCAAACTTCTACTTTTGATACTGTTTTTCGCAACATTTTATGCAAGAGCCTCCCCCCTTGTTATTTTGATAGCACTACACCACTGCCGATGCCGGGAATGGCAGGAAAACCTAAAATACTAAACTAATATTTGAAAATATCAAAAACATAATAACATAATGAATCAAAAGAAAAACTATTTAGTTGAACTGAATTTTAATAGCTCCTTAGAAGATTGTTTACTGCCTTTTACAAGCTGTCTGTAGAAAATTATCTTCAGGGGCGGATTCAGACGGTGGCACCGGTGGCACGTGCCACGGTCAGATTTCCAAATTTAAATTTTTGGAAAATGATGGACTGTTCTAAGTATCCCGATATGGTCCTTGCTGTCTAACACTTCCTCTTCGCTCCAGTGTCTATCTACCACGCCCCCTCTCCGCTGTTAATTTAGTAGTACGCCATGTTGGATTTGCTTATTGTTTGCCTTTTGTTAACCACAGAATAATTGGCTCTACCAAATATGGACAGTAACAATCGTGCCACACTAGATATAAATACAGTTTATCTGTCAGTAGTAAGAACTAGCCATTATTTATAAATTTTTAAATGTGTATTATTTTAGTGCGTCCAGTGACAAGCCTACATCAGTTTGCATCTTTATTTGTTTGCAAGTTGAAAACATAGAGCCAGTATTGTTTAATGATAAAACGACAGGAGCGGTGACAGCTTTGCGCTAAATGTAACTATGTTTTCGCTATAAAAGCTATACCCGTCTCTGTATGCTCAGACTGGGCGTTTCCGAAAGACCAGAGGGCGTGGACACCTAACACTATTCTTGTGCCACGGTCATGATTTTTTCTGCGTCCGCCCCTGATCTTATATGCTAAAAGTGCTTAATTTGTTACCTATCACTAGATTCTTGCAGTGGCGGAGCCATGGGAGGGGAATGGGGGTGACTAGCCCCCCCCCCCACTTTTTTAGAAAGTTGGTCCTTGAGAGGGGGGGCTATGTGCGATATCTAGATCGTCAGGAGCTGGTTTACGCTACATAACAACATAATCCTAGCCTTAATGCAGGCACCGAGGAGCGTTGAGAAAAGTGAGGGGTCTAAAAAAAGTGCTAAAGCCCCCCTGCTTCGCGGTGCTTGTAATGTAGCCTTGCAGTAGAGCTGTATTTTAATTTTGCTTTTGTAGCTTCTTGGAAGTTCATTATGTCTCGCCTACAAACAAAGAAATTTTATAAAGCAGCTACACTATTTTACTTTCATTATCATTAACCCAAAAAAAGGAAATCTTGTAAAACAATAAAGAAAATCAATCTTCAATCCATTCTGAAAATTTTGAAAACATATTTTGTTCATTAATGACGCTTTTTTAAATCATATCTCCTTCTGCGTTAAAGCATAGATTTAACATACAGGTGCTGCAGAAATTCAATCTCAGAAACTCATTCGCAGTCACCAACAAGACTTTAAACTCAATCCCTGTCAGCTTATAGGTTGAAATTGTGCAGATAATATCCTTATGCAACAATCATGATAAACCAAATATCATGAAAAAGTGGTGACCATAACCTCCTACCCTACCGTCGGAGGCCCTATACCAATTGCCGTCAGTGATCATCATTTGTGAAAAATTTTGAATATTTTTAATAGTCTGTTAGTAAGGCCTATTCTGAAGAAAATGTATTTAAAAGGGAGTCTTTATGACAGAAAATGTACGTAATTTAAGGTTTCCGTCCACACAAATTTTTGCAGACAATTTTTGTCAACCGACATGGACCTTGACGCATGCGTAGCACGTGCACGTCCCTATCATCTGCCGTCAAAATGGCGACTTTCAACGCCAAGTCCTTCGAGAAGAAGTTAAATGCGATGGACTTGTCGCAAACAAGCGTGCAGACAGTTTCATTATGGATAATACACCACAGGCAGCATGTCAAGGAAATTCTTTCGATATGGATTGACATGATGAAGAAGGGTAATACTTTAGTATAACTAACTGACTTTGCAAACCGTAAACCGTGGCCTCTTTTACCAAAGGAAGCGGTATGCCAAACTAGGCCGGTAAAATATTCTGAAGCTACCCGTCGTAAAATTTTCCGTTTCAGCCTTATTGTAGGTTGTTCTTCGGGAAATGCAATTGGTCTAACTGCTTGCCATGCTATAAACCCTCTATGTCGATTTGCAAACTGTTCAATTGCCGAGGCATAAAAAGATTAGCATTAGCAACAACCCGGTGATGATCCGCCTGTATAGCGATTGCTCACATTGGTACCTAAAACAGTTTCCACATAACTATGAATAAGAACAGCTCGGCATATTGGTGGAAAGTTTGAAAACTGCAATGGCTTTGAGAATTTGTTTTACATTGTTGTTTATTGATGCTGCCAATTCTGGAATTGAACATACACGATATGTTAATTAGTGACCTAAAGTTGTACTGCATCTAAATTTTCTTCCATTGGCTTGTTTTCTCAGAATAAAGGCTTAAATGCCCAATTTTTTTCACTGAAGACTTAAAACTCCTATCCAACTGTATTTGTGAGCAAAAATATAACATGACTTGATGATCTTGCAACCATATAACTTTAAAGGAGAATTTTGCATGTGGAGCCCTTGACAATAATTACAGATTTGTATCAGGTGACAGATGCCTTACTCAATTGCCATTTGGGTATTTAGTTCAGATTAAAAAACCCCTGAAACCATCCCAAGGCAGAGTTCTTGATTTCCTAAACATCTTTGATAATCTTGATGCACTGCCAAAATTCAGGGCAAAAAAAGAATTTTATTGCATGCTGAAATTTGTTATGTCTAAACAGAAGATCCGGCAGAGTTTGTTTTTTTTCTAGCAGATGACACCAGACACAATTGATTTTCAGTTTGTTATTTCAAAGATCAAATTTCCTGAAGTTTGTGCTTAAAAATATTTTATTTGTATGTGATTTATCTTCCTTGTTGTACTAAACATTTGTTTTATATATTTGTATCAGACTCATTTCATTATCATTTGATTTTTAGGCAAAACAGACAGAAAGTTGGTGCTTTTCTATTTAGCAAATGATGTTGTACAGAATAGTAGAAAAAAGTCAAAAGAGCTTATACAATACTTTGGGAAAGCATTTAGAGAAACAATTCCTTATATGAAGTATGTATTGATTTCTATTGAGTTTGTCAATTTAACCCTTTGATTTTTTATTTGAGTTTGTGAATTTCTATACTGATTTTGGATGTTAAATGTTAATTTTTGAGATGCATAAATTTGTATAACATATAGTGTATTCTTCACTAAAATTATGATATTCTTGCTGAAAAGGTTTTTACTCCCAGGGTCACATTGATGTTCATTGATTATCTTCACATACTATGGATTTTTTCTTTGAATTTTAGTGCTTGTCAGCCAGAAGTCTATATTACATAGAGCGTATCATATATTCAAGTTATCTAAAGAGCTATTCATTCAGTCTGCTGTTGAATAACTGCTGTTGGTGTGTTTATTTTTGCTTTCACATTGGAAAATATTTTAATGACTTTTTCCTTTGATTTTAAGCGAAAAGAAGATCAATCTGCAGGTGGAGAGGGTTTTCAAAATTTGGGAAGAAAGAAAAGTCTATGAAAAAGACTTTGTTGACAAGCTTCGTTCATTGCACAGTAGGTTTTGTTTTCATCAATAGTTCGATATTTTTGCACATAGTAAATAAATTATTTTAGATCACGTTTCATACACCATGAAGATTTGAATTATCTTAATGTATATAATTTGAAATATACATGATTTGGGTTTCATTTAATAAATTTGCTTCTAGTATAATATTCTTGAACAATCTGAATGAGGAATTCCTCTCCTTGAAATTATGCCTTGAACTTTTGGGAAACATTGATTTATGAAATAAATTGTTGTTTGAACTTTTTAGTTAGTACAGTGCAAAGATAGTACTGTGTGCTATCCCATCTGTGGTCATCTTAATTAAAGCGTTTGAAAATTCTGCCTGAGATGCCAAGGGTCCCTAGCTAAACCTATAATAGCACACATTATAGTTGTTGAGCCTTAATCTAAAAGACATGTCTTGTGCTACCAACATACTGCAAAAATTGCACTCTAACATACGTTTATACCACAGCTACAACTCAAAATGAAAGCAATTTGTCTTATATGAGTTACTGTATATCTTATATGTATATGTATAGAAATAATATGATCTTGTGAATTTTTTTGTAATGCTTTCTCCTTTTGTTCAAAAGCTTCAGGTGGTGTTAAGAAAGAAAAAGCAAAAGTTTCAGAAGCATCAAAAGCCACAGAAAAAGTAGTTGAAAAGCTGGCCAAACAAAAGGCAGCCGCTAAGCCCTTGCCTTCTGACTTCAAAGTATGTTTAACATTTTTTTTCTTGAGAATAATATATCATACAGCTTTTCAATTTTACTTGCCAATGGGGTTTAATGTAGACATAAGCAACTCTTAGCAATATTTAAATTGACTGTTTATTGATAACCTAAAGATCTTCAAGCATATCTTGCCTTCCTTGAATTTTTGTTACCTTTTGGATTCTAAATGTTATTGGGTAAGCCCTTTCAGTTAATATATGGAATTATCTTTCAATGAGCAATCCATGAAACTATTATATTTTGAATTAATACAAAATAAAAATTTAAAAGAAACAAACAAGAAAAAAATAATAGTCATATCCATGTGTTGAGCCACCCACTCAATATTACCAGGACATTTAATTGGAAAGGGCTTTGCTCTTTAAGATTTTGCTTAAAATGCTTGATTATATAACACCAAAATAAAACTGCTTCCTTCCTGTTTTTATGCATTTAGAATGCAGTCATAAGATCAATTTAGTATTTTTTGACATATCGATTTCTCTCATTTTCAGATGTCAGCTGTTATGAATATGATTGTCAGCATGAAAGAGTTAGAAAGTGAAATTAGCACACAAGATAGTCAGATGTCTTCCTTGAAAGTTGATGCATCAGATTTGGAAGCAGTGAAGCAAGTTAAAGGTGTTTATTGGTTGTTGGTGTTTGTTGGCGTAAAAGGGTTTTGGACCTTAGTTGTTCAAAAGCATGATGGCAATGTAAAAAGCAGGCTTTTTAACTGAGAGTGAAAAAGGCCTTCTCAAATATCAAGCTTGTGCATTTTTCCTGTAAGGGGAGGTGTTACATGTTTCTTGTGACACATATTCTCAGTGCCCTTGCCACTATCACCTTTTTGTGAGGGACAGTTTGGTTTGTTATTATTTGATGTACTAGACTTTGCTTGCTATGATTCTGCTGTTTCTTGTCTTGTTTGTTGGAAAGGAAAAATTGCAATGATATATGACATAATGTATAAATATCTTTTCCAAGTTATTCAGCACCTTTCTTCTCAGTTTCATGCAAAATATTGAATAATTAATTATTTTAGTATTTCTAACTTCAATCTTTTTGTTGACTTTACAGATAGATCAGGTGTAAACAAATTTGTAAAGGAGTTTGAAGAATCCAAGGAAAAGCTTGATATGTACTGCAACAAGCTAAGCAGATGTATTAATGACAAGCGAGCCTTGATTGACATGCTAAGTCACAGTGAGACATACTATGATGCAGCATATGAGGAAGCAAAGGTTATTGTTCATGTGAGTGGCAAGTTTGGCTATGTTATCATAATTAGTATCAACAATGTCATCATCATTGTCATCATTATTATTTGTCATCTTAATCCTAGTCGATCAACGTCATCAACCTAATTAATGTTTTTCCCAATTATCATCAGCAACACAATGATCATTGTAATTATTAGTATGATTATTGTTAAATTGACATTGTCCTTGTTTACACATTGGGTGAGGTATGTAGAAGTATGCACATCAATCACTGGTCAAAGTGAAAGAGATACTTCAATTCAGTCCGCCTTTCATTGAAGCACTAACCCATAGTAACCCAAGCAATCCTTGGAATATTTAGATCACAACTGGATTTCTAAACGGAGAATTCCAAGCAAATTCCTTTAGTCTGAATGCTCCATGTTGCACTGAAAATGTTTAATGATCTAATTACCAAGACATGTACTGTACCCAAATGCATATATTTAAGTACCTGTCACTGTTTTCTAATGCCCAGACTGCCTGTTTTGTTGAGGTGTCCTTTCTTGCCTTAATGTGTTTCAATGTTTAATTTTACGTATATGTCTCTTAAGAAGCTTATTTTCATTCCAGGCCTATAAAACATTCGGCAGTAGACTATCTTCGATGAAGCGAAAAGTAGAATCTAAAGTAAAGAAACTGAAAGTTAAATGGGAGGAAAAGCAAAAGGAGAAAGAAGAAAACAAGAACTCAAAACCAGAGTATGAAGTAGAACCCATTTCAGATGCGGAAGAACAAAGCGAATTTCAGGCAATCGGTGACCTTGTTCAGTCCGGACTCCAGTCATTGGCTGCAAAGAAAACCGAGTTGTCTCAACCAGAGGACCCAACTGTAGATAATATCGCCCTCTTAGACATGGACCTTGGCAGTGATTCTGAAAATGAGACCCCTGATGGACCACTTTACGATCCATCAAGTGTCATGTATGATCCGAACGATGCTGGAAAAGATATGGGAGATAATTCGCAGCCTTCAGAAACTGGGGATAGTTCAGATATGTCCCTTATAAACATTCCAAATCCAGAAGATGTTTTCAGGAATATTATGGGACAAAATGAGTCTGCACGCTCATCAGCTCTGAAGCCAATGGGAATTATGATTGATGGGAAGTTGCAAACCGTTAGTTTGTCAGATGGTGAGTTTGTCTAATAATTGTTTATTTTTTACTTTGTTTTCCAAAACATCGGTTCAAGTTATGTTTTGAAAACTCTTAAGTGCATCTTACAGAAGCTTTTAAGCAATTTTTTTGTTCACTCTGCTTTCAGTTTGTTTTTTCGGAGGACGATTTAAATATTTCCCCCATTTTCGACTGCATTTTTGACTGCATTTTTGAAGCGTTGGGCCATGCTGTTCTTTTCCGTTATATTTCATAACCTCGCAATTTTTCATCTCCGTCTTTCCTACATACATTTGAATGCCTTTTCGTGCGTCTGTCAAACAATTCTTTCTAGTTTCTTTTTCAAAATGCCTTTCTGTTGAAAAATATTTTTATAATGCGAGTTATTGTATACCCCATGCTGATAATTTCATGTTCTACTTAAATTGTGACAGAGTTACAAGAATCTCACAAGCATATTAGAATTTTTATAGCATACGTAATATTTTGACTGAAAGAAAACCCATTCAATGAGTCGGAAACATCCGTGATAGTTCTATGGCTAAATATTTTCTGGACCTCTTGGTCTATGCAAATTTTTATTCAAAACAATGTATCTTAATCACGGGAGCCTTTTCTAAAAATATCGTACCTGATTCACATCTTAAGTTTTCCATTCTGCATTTGAATCCACCAAAATATTTCTTGTTCATCTGCTCTTCGCCCGTTTTTCTTGTTTGTTTTAATGTATCGATCTTTTTGTTGCTTTGTTTATTTCTTTTCCCTTGTTTATTTTTTCCCTTTCTAGTTTTTTTTAATGTTCGACAATTTTTACATGTACTCGGTTACTTGATTTGTTTTTGCATTAGGGATGATTTTCAAAAATTCAAGTAAGGCTTTTAAGAATAAACCTTGGCGCAGAGAAAAAAATGGATGAATTTGGGATCAGAATAAAGGGGAAGGGCGTGCAGAGGGTAAATCAACGGACATGGAAAATTATGCAGTGCAAAATTTATATTAGATTGCGTGAAAAGGGATGAGAATACGAAACGTCAACAAAAATTGGATAACATTCCTAGAATAGCAGTCAATGTAAAGAGAATAGCTTTCAAATCAATTTTTTTGTTACTTCCATAGTGTAGGTTCTCCTTGATTCAAAAACCGCGGCCAATTAACAGGCCTGGCCGTAAGACTTTTAAAAGGGGAGCAGTAAACAGCTCTCCTAGTAGTATTCAGGTGAGCTATAAGAATAGAAACAAAGGAAAAATTGATTTCAAGGAGAGCAAGTTTGCTTTTTAGAACAATTTAGGAGAGCAATCTCTAGCTCCCCTCCAGCGTTTGAGGAGAGCCTGGAGAGGAGCAAGAGCTATGGCTCTCCTCAAATGGCCAGGCCTGAATTAAGTGTACCAACAATGTTCTAACAAAGCATTAAGATATCGTAAAAGTACGACTTAATACATAGAAGTTGAATATTGTTGCGACGTTTCGAGCATAACTCTTCATCAGATCAACGCCACATACTTGAAAGCAGTATAAATTGATTTCGACTGTCATGATACCTAAAATACTGCGTATGCAAAAGTATTGATCAAAAATTATTTTGATGTTAATTGTTGCTACTCATAAGTATATCAATCAAATTGAATATTTTCAGCATTCATAACCTGTGCCATTCAAACATTCATGTGCACTTATTTTGTCTTTTTTGACCCCCTTACTTAAGCTTTGTACGTACGATTTTGTATGTAGTACTGATAGCCCCAAGCGCCTTTGGGCGTGTTGAAACAACTCGCTTCCCTATTTCTGTTGGGTGAATCAGACTGACGCACCTGATGGCTCCCACAGATTGACACGCGAAGAGGTGAAATGTAACTCCTACCTTAAAAAAGGGGGTGTTGTCTTAGAGCAGAAAAATGGGGAACATGAGTGTCAAGAGAATGTAAATAAAAAAATGTCCCCACATATAGATGGAAATCGTCTGAAAATTTCACATTTTTCAGAAGAAGTTTTAGGAATCATGAAGCTGGTATTTTTAGAAAAGAAAACATGGCAGGGCTAGAAAGTCGAAAGAAAACCTGAATTTTCAACTACGAGTTTTCTGATATTTCCCTATGCTCACCTTTAAAAAACAACCCTCTGCTCTTACAAATACTCTAGAATCAAACAACTATGAGATAGTTTGATTAGTTGGTGACAAAACCAGAAAATTTCATCTTTTTCAATTTTATAAGAAGTCTTGAACCATATATTATGGTTCTTTTACAAAAAGGCTACCCTTATCTAGGTAAATGCCCCAATGGGTGGACGGGGTGGAATACTCACAAGCTGTGATTCCCAAGAAGAAATTGAAAAATTGGGGGGGGGGGAAGGTAACTCTCGCGGATAAGAAATAAATCCATATACCTTTAAACTGTCATCTTAAGTTACTACAATTCAGCTTCCAAATGTCTAAATATATCAAAATATATCTCCCATTGCTGTTATTGTTTAGCTAAATCCATTCAAATTCCTTAGGCAACATGATCGTTGGAACAGAAGGCCAGCAAGCAAAAAGCATCGTCCACACAAGCATAAAAAATGCATCATCTTTGCGAACAACTGCAAATACAGTTACTGCCTCTGTTGTTGCAACGGAGCCCTCTGGATCGTTACTAAATAACGAAGCAATGTCACCTATATCAGATGATTCTGTGCCTTCGCCGGAAGGCACACCAGAGGGGCTTGTGCTTGAAAAAGATCAGGCACAGCAGAATGACGTCATTAACCAGCTGACTGTATTGCCATCATCATCAGCCTTTCCAGCCATAATACAAAGTAGCCAGTTCCCTGTGAGTGGTCAGTTTTCATTGGTAGACAACAGCACTTGGTCGACAGTAACAACTACTGCTCCTTTGAATAGCCTTGACATGGCCCCAAATCCCCACCTTGGTGGTATTTCAGACTTACCACCGCCGCCAATGTTCCCTGGCCTAGCCAATGCATCTGGTCAGTTGTCCTTTGAGCAACAAATCCAAGGATTTATTGGAGACCAAGTTCCTATTGGCTCTTCAATCGGCCAGTTGCCTCAAAGTAACATCCTGACTGACCAATTTCAAATGGGTTCTACTGGCTTGACGTTTTCACAACCAGAGCTTTCATTTCAAATGCCAGTTTCGGAAAGTTTCCCATCAATGTCAGCAGCATCATCAACAACGCCAACGCAGGATGAATCAGAAGGAAATACAGTTCGACCAATCGATATTTTGAGCCAGCTTCTAAACAAAGGCAAGAAATCGAAGAAAGATCGCAGTTCAGAGAAGTTAGATAGATCAGACAAAGAGAGGTCGCATAGCAGCGAGCATGGACGAGATCACAAAACTAAAGAACATGGTAGGCACAGGAAAAGCAGCTCCAGCAGGAGACGTTCTGCTGATCGACACCATTCTTCTGAAGTTTCAAGTGAACATGGAGAATCAGGGCATAGCTCTTCTAGAAGATCTCATCATCGCAGAAGGTCAAGAGGCCATAGCAGAGAAAAGCATTCGCATACTGGTGATAGAGAAGAAAGAAGGGAAGAGTCCGTTGATGATAATTCGGAGGATTCGTACTTGAAAAGTCCGAAAATATCGCGAATGTCAAGTGAACTATCAAACGATGCCGGGGATAATAAGCTTTCTGTTGATGCTAATAACGAACGGGTCACACCAGACGATTTGCTAGATAACAGACCCACGACGATTTTCGATAGAAGACGGGCGGAGCGGGAACAAGCCACTGAAATGGGGAAGACAACAGACTCTAATCGCTTGAAAAGAGAGGGTAGTCACCTTTCTGATCTTACTGAATTGGAAACTGACAATAATGATGAGAAGTCAGGCCGTCCAAAGTTGAGTGCACAGTATTCTACCGATAGTGATGTATTCATTCAGCGACAGAAATCGTTGGACGGGCAAGCACAAAGAGACGATTTTCAGCTCAACCAACAGGCACCATGGGCTCAAACAGAAACTCCTCAAAAGCATGATAATTTCTATTATAATGCTCAAAGGTCTCCCACTCCTGAGATGGACAAGTTCCAAAGCGATCCTGTGAGCCAACTGCCTCAAACTTTTGTTTCTTCAGCACTTCAGCAACCGGGGGTCTTTGTTCATGCTTCAATACCTCAATTTGATATGCAGCCAGCTACATTTACAAACGAGTCACTGCTAGGCTCCCAGCCTCTGCTGAATCTAAGGCCAAATATTCCTACTTCTGTTGATGTCAGACCCATCTTCCCGCAGAGCTTCCACCAGGAGACCTCTAAAGACCATGCGTTGCAAGGGGGCTTTGATATGCACACAAACTTAAGCCAGTCTCCATTTTTGCAAGGAGAGCAGTCGTTGTCGCATGAAAATAGGGGAGCATTTCAACAGCAACAACTCAGCCAACATGACTGGGACCGACATAATGTTAACGAGGGGCTTGCCTACCAAACAGAGCCACAACACAGGCAAGATGAAAACATTCCTGGATCTTCAAATGATTTACGATTTCAGGCAGTCGAACCACAAATGGCTTCAAGCATGCACTTCAGTAGGCCAGCTGATATTGTACAAGGGGGCTTGCAACCGACAAGCTCGCCTTTTTCGCCCGATCGTCCGCTTCCTATGCAAGATAATTCATTCAGCTCTGCAAATCAGCACATTTTTAGGCAAGTGAGACCAGGGTTACGTCATGAAGTGCCGCATATGTATCAAAATCGGGGGGTAGATGCTTATAATGAAATGTCATCACGTGGGCGTCGCCGTGGGGAATCATCAGAGTTCAATGTTGACATGGCGGGAGAGTTTCAAAATGACATGATTAGCCAAAAGGAGCTAAATCAAGGTGGTAATTATAATCACAGAGAGGAAAGGGAAGAGAGAGGCTTTCATAATCAGATGTCGGAAGAAAACTTTAGAGACTTCTCCGGAAGACAGAACATAGCTCAAGCAGGACGTTTAGGATTTGCACAAGAAGATGATGTAACATCTAGACATGCTAATGTATCTTTCGCTAAAAGAACCCATAATGACAATCAGATGCCCCTAAACGGGATAATGCGGGGCCAAAACCAGGATATGGGAGAACCCTTCGAAAACATGGGACAAGGCTCTCCAGCTGCATCACATCATATAGGGAATAGATTTAGGCACCCAGGACAAGGCATGCGCGGACCTCGTCCATTTAGGCCAAATCGACCTACAGGGTTTCCACAGCAACGACCTCGATTTCGACCACCGCTTAGGCCTAGATTGCCTCAAGGATATGCACCAAGGCGACCGGTATTTTGATGCCAGATCTGTGCGTAGGCAATATATCGACCTGTATGTAAATTATATTTGTAGCTTAATTTTGTTATCTTGATGTCGTTATTTCACTGTTGATTATGTGAATGGTATGAGATGAATAAGCATTGTTCCCCCGTTTTCCTGAATAGGACTGGCAAAAATTTCGTTTCCTTTTGTAGCATAGCAAGTTTATTCAACCCCCCCCCCCCCCATGTTATTCATACGTTTCTTTAGGGCGGTTTCTGTTTCAAAGTCCCATTTACCTTTGCAAAGCGTTAAGTCTGCGATGATTTTGCATGCACAATTAGCAGAGGTCTTGGCTCCAATCAATTTTTTTGTCGTTGGGACGCTCCAACCACCAACAGTAAAAAGCTACGACGAACAGCGACATTTTTTTATTAACTACTGTTTTCGTTACGAAAACCAGATGTCTTAAAATGCTTGTTGAATTTGTGGCATGATACCATCAGTCTGTATTGGACAATTTCAGTTACTCTTGTTGATCAAGTACGAAAAGTTAAAACATTGAAAAACGAAGAGCACATTTTAGCCTGCCTCTTAATGAGCGTCTCGCAACATATTGTTGTCATGAAAGAGCCCAAATCATATACTGTTATTATATAAAATTCATGATAACCAACCAATGTGATACAGATTTATGAGTGATGAAAAGCGATCATAGGAAACAGCTCAAATCCCAAGACTCTAATCTATATTTACACCTTTGCAATTAGTTGGGATGTTGTTGTTTCGATTATAGTAATTGTTGTTGTTGCTGCATTGTATTATTCTTGTTTCCTTTAAAATTACCCCACTCTCCTGATTTTTGGAATTTTTGGTCCAGAAACCCAGTGCCCCTTACAAGACGTTTTCCCTCCAAGCTTGCCACATGTTGACTTTCTTTTGAGACACCTTATTATGGTACCCACCGTTGTCCCTTTAGGTTGCTAGTTGAAGCTTTGCAAAATAGGAAAGTTTACCACTGTTATTAATAGTAAATCAAGCCAACTATTGTGTCCCTTTTACGCTGTTAAAACTACATTATACTCCCTGGACAATCCGATGTCTCGATAGATGGTACTTAATGTTTCAGTAGCAGTCTGGTCGTTAGCATTTATTTCAGATTTTTCTTACTGAGTAAAACTGTATTTGTGTACAATTAAATTTTACCTAAGTTTTGTTGGACATTCAAGAAAACATTCTTCGGTCAGTGTTGTATTTAGGCCTTCCATTCGTAAACATGTTTCCAGTTTTAGAGCAGTTTGATTGGCTTTGTGAAAGATCCATGCACTTTTAGTCATCATTGGCGGACTGGTCCACCGGCCCACCGGTTACTTCTAAGGTTCGAAAGTGGGCCTCCTTTTGAAGAAATAGCCCCGTCTTGAAAATAGAAATCTTTTTTATTTGGCTTTTGCGGATTAGACATATCGTTAGTTCCTTAGAGCTGATGAAAAACTTTTGATTACACTGCCACAGTTTGGATTGCTTAGGAATTGCTAAAACTGCATTGAAGAGATCAAATATGCAGTTGGATTACAAATATTTTGTTGCCCAACAGGGCAAAATATATATTGCCAATTTATCATGACTTTAAAGCTAAAGGGTTTCTGTTGATATTTCTGAGTTTATGAAACATTGTCGGTTATTTCAGTTATCGGAAATTCAGAACAATCTTTCAAAAATTGTTCTTAATTACCTTTTGCATTCAAATACTTTACGGTCCCAAAAAAGAACATATTTTAGTTGCCATCTGATTTACGTGAAAACTGTGAACAATTTCAGTAAATGAAACAGAGTAACCAGAATACTTTGCCAAAACTTTGTTATTGAAGCAATCGCATACCATAGGATCTTAGGCATACCGCATTTTGTGTATGGAACAGGATGCAGAGAAGTCCTAAAAAATCTGTGTCGCCCAAGCCTTTAAAATCTCAGGTTCGGAAAGTCGCTTTACGATATCAGGAGCCCCGTATTCATAATTTCTATTATGATGTTCTTTTTTCTTTTTTTTCTGCAAAAAGTTTAAGTTACAAGAACGTACTTCTGTTCTTTCAAAGCCCAGAAAAACACCTTCCTCGAAGACTAGGATCAACGTAGTGTTAAAAATGGCATCATATTTTGAGTTAGATTAAACATTTCGCTAACTTAATGCGGATTTTAACCTGAAAGCAAAATTTTACCACTTTCCCGTGCCATTTTAAAGTTTAGATGTTATTATATAAGTAGGAAGTTGTCAAATTAGATCGAGTGATATTCTATATCTATGTTTTAAAATGATATAGGTATTGATATAGCTATTAAATACGTCAATTTTTATGCGTGAAGATCCATTTCAAAAAGGTCCATGTATGTAAATTATGCAAATATGTAAATTTTAAGTAGACAGTTATATGCAGTTTCTTATGTTACACTTGGTGCGTTTTTAGATCAGCCAGTTGGATTGTACTAAGCAATATATTTCTGTGTATGTATTTCTCGAATGGTGGTATGTCTCGATCATGTTTTACTATAAAAACTGTGCCTTTATTGTCATTTTTCCGGTGTAAATATTAATTTATTTTACTTAAGAAGATTTAAATTCTAAGCCATATTAATATTCGATGTTTACATATGTTCATAATGAAAACGTTCGAACTTTGTATAGATTGGTTCTGTTTCTTCAAGAGATCCTCTCTCACTCTACGGCACATTCAACTTCCAGCTTTATTGTTCCAGTTTCAACGGGGACCAGATAAACTACAGGATGTTACTCATTTCGGCGTTGTAAATCAGTTAGAGAATTTTTAGAGTACTTCGTAGCCGGTTTGTGAAATCCTTTTAATTTATAGCTCTTCGAAAGTAACATTGTAAAATCGTCAATTTCATTGGCGGTTAATCCTAGGCAAAGCAGCAAGCAATCCGACATGATCCTAGTAGTGGGGCGAATTCCCCTGCCCCCTTCCTTGACACCACTTTTGGATATAGTGCACCAAAGATTTAAGACCAAGTCAGTGCCTTATTTTATTATGTCTGCAATTTCGATTTTGAGGATATAAGGTCTAGCATGTAGTCTTGGAAAATATAATTAATCGTTTTGCAAATGACCATCAAAAATAATGCGGGGTAATATATTTTTTTGGTATAGATTGAACATAAACGAAAATGACAATATATTTCCGTTTCTCGGCGGTATAAAATATTATCATCATCGTGATATTTTCCTCATCTGACATCAGCAAATGTTAATTAAGGCCTCTCGATGGACTGCATTTTGGTATTTAACCTGAAAGTGAAACAAGCCTCAACATCAAGCAATTATTTTTGAAATTTTGCTGCATTTAGCTCATAGATATTTCAAGTTAGAAAACAAGTTAGGTAACTATCTAACATGTTATTGAGGTATACCCAGTATCTTGAAGCTTGATTGAAAGCTCTGACTTAGCGCTTAAGAAAATTGAGCAAAATTCTGCTCAGTGACACCGACAAGGTTGAAAGAAATAATTCGCACCGCTTGGCTAGGAAAGTGACGGGATCGTTTCTGAAAACTTTGTTTGGAACGCTTGGCTAGGAAAGTGACGGAGTCGTTTCTGAAAAATATTTTGGACCTTTACCCTGTTCCAAGAATACCAGAAATGCATCACAATTTTGCCAAAATATACAGATCTCATAATCTTAAATGCTAGCAAATGTAACTGAAACATGTTCATTCTAAGAAATATTTACAAACAGAGAAAGCTGCTCTCATATATTTCTTTTTTATGAATTTCCTCAATTTGATATCCTGTCCCAGAAGGCTTCTTTTTCCCTTTTCTGTGCCTAGGGGGAGAGGCATGGCACTTGCAAAGGTTTGTCTAATCTCCTCCTCCGTATCTACACAAAGTGGTCCTAGCCTCGTATTGTTTGCCAATTTTAAGCCTAAACGAGACTACAAATCCAGAGATGTGAGGCCACTATATTTTTTAATATTAAATTGCAAATGTCCATCTCCAAGATATGGAGAAATGTACCCATTGTGAGTAATTTATAAATATCTTACTTTTGCCTAATTCTATGTTTCTCGAAGTAGTTTTTTTTACAGGCTCAGGCCAACGGTCACATCAAGAAACTCGCGAGAATCAAGTTAGAAAATAATTTAAAATATAAGGAAAATAGCACATAAAATAATTCTCCAAATTTTGTCTATTTATCATTCTTTTTTAAATTCATTTTCTCGATTAAAGTTTGATTAGCTACAGTTAACGTAGAAAAAAGCGAGAGATATTATTGTTTTTGTCCAAGTCCAACTTTTCGACCTGTCCGTGTCCCATATTGTTGCTGATGTATACTTTACAGTCTTTGCAAGGTATTGATTTCAAATTTTGTAAACCATGTATTGTTTGATTTATTTTTTGCAACTGCCGCAAATGAATGCAAAAGTTAAGCCCAAAATTGTTGCTCAATGTGAACAATAGTGGGGGTTGCTATCTAGGGGTGCTTAGTCCACAAATTTCCAAACTCACCAACAAATTAAGGATGGCTCACCCACTTTATTGACAAATGGGACTCTGAAACTCCCCTTAAGCACAGTAGCTAGTGATGGACCTGAACGTGAGCATGGCAGATAAGTGTTGAAGGAAAGTGATTTCACAGTAATTATCCTTTGTACCTAGTGTGTTCTGCAGGGTCTCTACATAACAATGCTGTATATCATTAGGGAGTACTGGTCCGTGTCCCTCAATGCTATGCCTTTGTGTATGACAAGAAATATTAATGCATTCCACTTCTTGATTTTGCAGGTACATGGTATTCTTGGTAGAAGGTACAAGCCTCCAATTTTGGCTCCAAACAGTGCAAAAAGTACCTCAGTCATTTGTACATTAATCAGAAAACTATGTTCTGATGAAACAGGATATCCCCTAGAGGTAGCCCTTAAGCATATATCAGTTTATCAGTCAAATATATTAAACCTAAAGGGCATTACAGAAGAACAGATGTCAAAGAAATTTGAATGACCAACTTCTGTATAACATATACATAACTATGCTATTTAGTGTATAGAGCAGGATGGTTCTAAGTTTTGACTCTAAGTTTCATGCTTAGTGCAATCATCAGGCAATTAACTGTTATTAACTAACTACAAAATTTGCTCATCTCATCCTAATAATGATGGTTATCGGTTTGGAATAAATTTAGCAACCCGTATTACTCAACAAATGTTCAAAGAGTTCATTTATTCATTCAACATTCAACATTCATTCATTCAACAACATTCAACATTCAACATTCAACAAATGTTCATTTATTTTTTCATTCAAAGGTTTTGAAATATTCACATGATCAACTTTTTGTGTGATTGTGTTTTCAGGGTAGTCTTACACACCCGGAAACCCCTTTAAAAGCCATGCCATTGCTAAGTGCTATACTTAACAATGTCACTGCCATGATCAGCATCTTCCATATTCTACTATTATCATGAAGTTACAAAATAAGCATATGATTTATTTGTATGAAGAAATGTGATTTATTTAATGTTTATGTTATTACGATGGCGGAAAAAACACTAATTGAGACTAACATGAAGGAATTTAATGGATTGCATAAGGCAGTCCATGCAAGTTTACATGATCAAGAGTGATTTTCCGTTATAGTAGTTTCAACTCTATTGACACACATAATAAGATTTTAAAAATTTAAGTTGCATTTTCAGATTGTATTTTTTACTTTTTTAATGAATAATCCAGTTAGATATATGTGGGAAGGCACAGTTCAACATACTACAATCCTGGCAAAAGGTGTTGAGACATTTGCAGAAAATTTAGCTTGTTTCAAATCATCAAGCCCCGCCCCCCAAATCAATGTTGTTTTGAGAGTAGTTTAGCACACCTTCATCCCCAGTCATACCGCAATCATAAACCCAACATTGACATCATGGGGAATGGGATGTGGGCTACCAGTGCATGTTTATATAAAGATAAGACATTTGATAAAAAGTCTCAGCTTTTTTTGCCAAGATTGTAGCTTTTGAATGCTAAAGCTGGCAAATCATAACAGAAAAACATCAAGCAAATGGCCTGTAACAGGTGTCTGGTCTAATAGTTTGGGAATGTTTAAGTTTATTGGTTAAAGATTTTCTGGGTCTCTAGCATTTAAAGAATGACTCTGGTTTTAATGAGAGTAGAGAATGTGACATAAAGGGGGAAATACCAAAAAGCATATGGAGAAACAGGCCAAACGAAAAGACTGGCAGTGGCAGTTTTGGTGGGTCCATGGGGCCCAATGAGGTATAAGATTATACCTCATTGATGGGGCCATGACCCCAGGCCCCTTGCTAATGGTAGCCAGAGGTGTCTCACACCTAAGAAAAAAATAAAAATTTTAAAGGACAAGGGCCCTGCAGTCCCTAAAACTGTATTGATAAATAGCAGCTAAAGTAATGGAAACTTATTCATAGTTTGTCAAGAGATATTAGAAAAGAATAGAAAATCATCAATAGATATTGTTGCAAATTTTCATGTGCAAATAATAATCCTTGGAATGTGAATTTCTTTGAAAATTTTGAAGCTAGAGATTGGAATCAGTGCAAACTTTTTTAACAAATGAATGTCTGTTTAAATCCGTTTTATATACATTTCTGAATATTAATACGGTGTATGCAGATTTTCCCCTGTTCTTTTGCTCGGTCTAACAATCTTTCTCATTCATAACGAAAATTGGCAGGTAATATAGAAGGGTGTGTTTTTCTTCAATTGCGGACCCGCAACACTTATTTTGATACGTTTTCTATGGCATATTTTTCACCTATGTCATGGGTGCCGCTGCCAATCGTCTAACCAAACACCCCATGTCACTTATGACGTAACACGTTAGACCACTTTGATTGCATCATCACGTCGTCTTCATGTGATGCGCCTCCGCTTGCACTGATCTCTCGTACGGACTTGGACGTGACAAGATGGCAGCCCCGAGTGAGGAAATGGCGAATTTGAAGGTCGATGGAGGTATGCCAGAACAGAAAAAAAATAAGAGTGACAAAAAGAAAGGAGATAAAAAGGGAAAAGAGAAAGCTCCAAGTACAAGCCATCCTCTTGAGGTATTCTTTAAGCAGATAGAAACTCACATGCAGCCCTGAGTTTTAGGCCCATCTTTCGTAAACTACACGTCGTATAGAGGGTGCAGAAAGAATTCTCAGAAATCTGGATGGTAAAATCAAGCAGTTTTGTCGAATCGAGGAAATATTTCCCTAAAATTTGGCCTAGGGAGCTTAAGCCTCCTTTTAAATCTCAATTGTACTAAAAACCATACATAAGTTACCTTCAATAATATGTATGTATGATCATACAAACCTGATTGGAATCTTCGAAAGATGCACGGGGGATCTGTTTCATGTCCATGAAAATTGCGCATTTGCAAATAACACAGATAAAATTTTTGTGCGGCTGAGACTAATTACCGTAAAACACAGTATGTAACTTTTGGGTATAAATTTCAGAGAAAAACATTAGTAACATCATTAGTGGTGACAAAAACAATGTAGCAAAGATAAACATTTTTCATAATTCCTAAAAATAAAAACGAGGGGGGCCCAACCAGATGAGAATTGTTTCCGTAAACCAAAATCTGCTCAAACTTTGAAAACTTTGTGCATGGTAATGAGTTAGATCACCCTGTTCCATGTGTATTACACTCCCAGAAATGATAAAATATCCTTCACATGTTTGCTGTTATTTGGCATATGTGTGTACAAAAACCAGCCTTGTGTATACACAAGCAAAAAGTAGTGACGATTTAGCCGATCTGCAACTGTGAGGGTCTTCAAATTCAAATTTCATTAAAAGCGGCAATTATTAAGTACATACAAGATAAGTTTTACATTTAAAGAAAAACCCTGTACAGCTGAATGAATCATTTCAATAGAAATTGTGCAGCTGCAATCGCAGTTAACACTTGATGTGCGCTGGGATTTATCCACCGGGCAAGGCAGAAATTCCAATTTGGCGTACAAAAGTTACTGTCAGATCAGGGGATCTGGTAACAGCTAAATTTTTATAGATTTGCTTCATTAAAATTTTCCTATTTCTTCTCCATAAACATAATGATTTAGTACACCAAGGCTCAATCAGCCAAAAAAGAAAATTGTAAGAACATGACCAAAACTTACTCATCATTTTTAACAAGGCAGAACAGATTTTAGCAGCAAGACAACTGCTAACAATATCATCTAAAACTATTATATTCATAGGTCTTACAATCAGTTTGTTATATGTCTTTGTAGAAAAATAATTTTGGGCCTCAAACTATTCAAAGAATAATAAGAAAGTATATATCTTTTTTTTAAAAAATTTGACCACATGTATGAATATATATATATGAATTCATAGGAGTGTATAACATACTAAATTGTACTTGAAAGATTTTTTGCTTTTGACTAAGGCCTTCTTTTTTGTATGCTTCAATGGTAATGGATATGTCATTTTTGCTGCAGTTGAATCCATGGCCAACATATATAGAGGAAAGAATCAAGTTGTTTGACAAGCTAAAAGCTGATTATGATGCTGAGGTTGCAGGTAAATTTTTAAACTTTAACTATGTCATTATAATTATGAATGAGTATATTTAATGACAATAACATCAATACAAATTTCCATGCTTCTAAAGCACAACTGCTAGGCCATTTTGATGCAAATGGCGGATTTCCCTAGCCTGAGTCCTAGCCAAGGCTCTCAACAAACTGTTGGAGCAGGCTATTGACAACCCTCGCAAAATCATGTCTCACTCGCTAGAGATATCTGAACAGCTTTACTGAAAAGTTAAATCCTGTAAATCTCTGTATTCCTGAATGAGAGGTAAAGTTTCTAATGAAAGCAAAGCATTATTGCTTCATTTTTCACATTACATCAAGTTGTTTGTCTTATTGCTTATGCCCAAAAGCTTATTGCTTATGTAACAATTTCTTCATGAAAAGGACCAACAACTTTTGAGAAATGTGCTTTGCAACAATCCTTTGTATGCTGCATATTGAACAAACAGAAACCAAGTATACCAATGGGAAGTTTCTCTTAAGTTCATCCAATGACAGAATAGAATATAGTCGATTACATCAACCTTTTTGCTCTCTGTAATCTCTTGCAACCAGCAAGCTATTAATTGTCATTGTTTTTAATTTGACATGCTGCTCTGCTTTGTTGGTTTTGGGGATATATACTGGGGCTAAGGGATTTTAGTTTATTCTAGATTGCATAGTGGGATGTGATGTGTTCCAAAGGCTTGATGCTTATGAAGAATATCTTTAATCATGTTAAAATAGTTTTATCTTTTATTTAGGCAAGGAGAGGTTCCCAATCAAGGTGACATTGCCTGATGGAAAGGAAGTTGATGGAAACGCTTGGGAAACCACCCCATATCAGATTGCTGCAGGCATAAGGTTTACATTTGAAGAACTATTAATTATAATCATGTTGTCCACTTCAAGGATAACTGTTGCCAAAATAAAGACAACTTGTCCATCATACATCAGTCAGATATTTTTCATTGTAAGCAAAGAAACTTCATCTTCCGTAAAGGAAGCGTAGATGGTTAAGGTGAATGACAACATGTCTTACACTCTATTCCTTCACCAACTACTTTGGATAAACTTTTTTGGTATTGATATGCAAACACAGAGAATCAAGGCAGATTTTGAAGCATTTGTATAATGTTTGCATGAGGTAGAAGCATAGCAAGACCCATTAGGAATATTATAGGATTGACTTCTGAGATGATTCCTCATTTACAAATATTAAGATCCTATTGGCCTTCAGCTCTCAATTGTGGTCCTCTGATGTTGTGAATGAATAGGGGTGGGGTTTTTTATATGAATGGAGGGTTTAGTAAACAGGGCTTTTGAGTTCTTATGAAGTCTTTATGTACTGAAGAAAATTTCAAAATCTTCAGTTGATGGTACTTGTTGATGATGAGGGTCTTCAAAATCCCAAAAGATTAAAGTGCAATAATTGTGGGCCACATTTATTCGGTACCTCAGGGCATATGTTCTGGTTTTGTTGAATGAAGCCTTATATTTGACAAGAATTTCACAAATAGATTGAAAAAATATGTTGTATATATGGTCACTGTTCATAGTACATATGGTTTTAGAAACATGTGTGAAATCTCCTTTACATAGGTAAGGCTTCATTATCAATAAGCACCCAACAACCATTTAAGAGCAACAATTTACAACTTTTGAAAGTTGGCTGTTGTCAATTCATTTTTCTTTATTGTTTATAGCATGCAAAATCTAAGTTGAGTTCCTATTGAAATAATGTTTGTTTTCTCATCATGGTTTTTTTATTGTTTTAGCCAAGGCCTTGCGGACAATTGTGTTGTCGCAAAGGTTAGTGTTATCTCTTTCTTTATTTTAAGCTTCAACACACAAAATATCACACAAATACTTGTAATGTTTTGCTCCAAATTTTTCAGTGAATGAAAACAAACAATTTAACCTCTATGATTCCATTTTTTTTATTTGGAAGAAAACTAACTGCAGAGCTTTGAAGTATCAGACATTTTGGGAGCAGAAGTTAGCTTCCATCACCACTAGCTTTGAACTCGTTTAGGGGGTGGTGATAACTCTAAACCTATAAGAAACCAATATTTTTTTAAAGTTTTCATATTTTGTTAATTGCTATTGGAATATTTCCTTCTGTCTGCAAAACTGCCAACCGAATCCCCTGAAAAAGTTCTCCATGGCTCAGGTTCACTATATCTGACATAGTTTTAAAGACTTTGTGTGACTGTATCAGGACACTAAGACGTTGTGTGATTTTGTAACATCAGTTAGAAGTCTCCATATTGAAACAGTTTCTTGAGGTCCAATCTGTTTATGCCCATAGATAGTATATTTTTGTTTGCAAACTGCAATCGAGATATATGTCATTTCTTTCAAGATTACTTTTTACTGATACTTCTATCCTTTTGCAAGATGCTCTTTGCCACTGCCATGACTTGTAGTGGTTGCAATGACTGCAAAATGCTCTTCAACTTTCATCTACTTGAAACATGATGCCTTATTTATTCTTTGTCATTACTGGCATACATTTATATTTAAGGTCAATGGGGAGGTCTGGGATCTAGATAGACCGTTTGAGCAGAACAGTACTTTGCAGCTGCTTAAGTTTGATGACCCAGAGGGTAAGTATTATCTAGAAACAAACAAATATTTTTGTGTAGTAGAGATGGCATTGTGGTCAAAAGAATGTTTATAGGCAAGAATTGAGAACAAGTCTTCAAATCTGTCCCTCTGGTACGAGACCACATCAAATTAGCCCTTTCCTTGGAAGGGAATTCTTTAACACGTCCCCACCCTTGAATAAGCCCCAGTCCTGACATGCCAGTTTTTACAATAAATGATTCTAGTCCATGGTAAATAACATATTCAGTGGAAAATGTAAACTGAGAAAGAACCAGAACCATTTTCTATCAATATTTAGTTGCAAAATGTCTCCTTTATTGCAGAGAACTTTAAAGACAAAATACTGTAATAAAGAGCTTTTTGTAACTTTCAGTTAATTTTGACAAGCTTTGTTCTTCGTTTAAGCCCCCATTATAAAATGTAATGTAATGTATTATAGGCAAGCGGCACTGATTGGTCAACCTTTACAGTCATGTGCTCGTGTTTCTGATTGGCCTATTTCGATCCACAACTGGGTATATATATTTCTTAGCGTAGAGTTTTCGATCTATGTTCTGATGTTTTAAACTCTGAAGAGTGTCAGACGAAAAGCTTTAGTTTACTAAATGTTTGTTTTTTTCAAAGCTATTTACAATGTATTTTCTGCAAACTACTCCATTTACTGTGTTTTTCTATTGTATTATAATGCGCTATTTCTTGTAAAATCCTTTCTTTTATCACTTGTTTAGGCAAAGCTGTTTACTGGCATTCAACAGCTCACATCCTTGGAGAGGCCATGGAAAGACATTATGGTGGATGTTTGTGCTATGGTCCACCAATTGAAGAAGGATTCTTCTACGACATGTTCCTGGAAGGAAGGTTTGCTATATTTGATATACAAGAAATATGTAAAAAACTGCCCCAGGGCAGGTCCATCTGAATAATGTTCCCTTGCCTTTTCCAGGTGACAGGAGATTTTTAAAAAATCGGGAAATTGAACACTGCATATATTACATTTTTGTAGCTTTAGTGCAAATTAATAGCTGTGGCTATCTTATACTTGAGACAGTTGGGCTTACTTTGTGTTTTGGCAACTGTTCGTTGACAAGCCGTGTTTTAGAAATCAGTACAAGCCGCAGGGTCCAATGCCCAATGTGCCACAGCTTAGCTATGATAATCTCACTTTATTACCCATGCAGCCTGATGATTTGTTGCACAGATGCATAACCCAAATTTTTTTTTTCAGGCAGGTATCCAGTAGTGATTTTGGAAGTTTAGAAACTGTAATGAAATCCGCAGTCAAAGAAAAGCAACCATTTGTTCGTTTAGAAATGAAGAAAGAAGATCTCTTGAAAATGTTTGAGGTAGGTAAGATTTTTAAGTTTTTGGCTGACATCCGGATTTTTCCTACCATAGAAAGAATATCAGGCAAAATGTTTGCAATAATACTTGTGTTGTATTAATTCAAAAAGATGCTTTGGTATAGGGCACATGTTTTAGTGCCTGTTTCTCGTACGTAAATGTTTTGAATTTTGTTGGTATCATCATAAATCAAGAATTGAGATTGATAGGGTAACTTCAATACAACTTTCCTGACAAGACAAGATGTTAGGGTAACTTCAAATTTTGATTATAAGGATGAATGCCTTGATAAGATAGTGGAATATGGAGGATTATCTGTTAGAATGTTACAATTCAACAGTGTATTACAAGGTAACTTCAATTCAACCTCAACTTTCCTGACAATTAGACACCAGACTCTTCGCAGTATCGTCATTGTAATCCTAAGCTTTATGTTTTTGTTGTTAATGTTGTTGTTGTTGTTGCTGTTGCTGTTGTTGTTGTTGTTGTTGTTTTCACCGTTGCTTTACCTCACGTTTTTCCTTTTCTATAGTTTAGTAAGTTCAAGGATAAATTCTACTTTTTTCTTTATCGCAATCCCAATCTATCATTATTTTGTATGTTTATGAAATTTGCTTGCGACAGATCAAGCTGCTTTAAAATGAATTGTTTTTCTTAGTACAACGAATTCAAATGCAGAATCTTACGAGAAAAAGTGAAAACACCGACAACAACTGTATATAGGTGCGGGCCCTTGATCGATCTTTGCCGAGGGCCACACGTAAGGCATACTGGGAAGATTAAGTCTCTAGCACTCACCAAGAATTCTGCTACCTATTGGGAAGGTAACTGCGAAGCCGAATCATTACAAAGGATTTACGGAATAGCATTTCCGAACGAGAAACAGGTAAGGTTATTTTACTTTTCGATACAACAAAACAATGATTTTGTCATATTTATGGTTTTTCTTGTGTCGTAGCTTCCGTTTGTGTTACTGTTTCCGTGCGGTACAAGCGTAAAAAGATACAGAGAAGTTTCAAACTTCTTTGATTGTTTTAGGGTTATGGAAAATTAACTGCATTTCAGTCTTACCGCTGGCATCCTTTTTAAAATGTTTAATTATGTATATAGCAGATATTCCTTCCCGTAGTTCGATAGCATTTGTTATTAATACTAGGCACCTGGCCATGGTCAATTCGCAATTGACTAAAACTTTTTTCGACTTAAAACCAGAAGCCTTTGAATACTTTTTAAGGTAAATTCTTACAGAGTAAAGGCAACGTTACTATACCGGATTCGTTTCATATCCTATTACAGCTTATATATTGCGCTGAACATTTGGCTTAATGTATAGCATAACAAAAGGAATCTTAAGAGGTGTTTTCCCATCCTCTAAATAACACACAGGCTTCCCGCGTTAATTTTGAACGAGAAAAGAATTTTGTGTCAAGGCCTGGACAGTTTAAAATGCATATTTGTGCCTTTATTTGCTTCCATATTTTTTCTTAATTTAGAATGATGTATTAGCAGCAGATTTCCCCATTTAATCGTTAAATTGATTGGTCGTTTAGATGAAAGAATGGAAGCATTTTCAGGAAGAAGCTGCTAAAAGAGACCATCGGAAAATTGGGAGGGTAGGATCTTGTTATCTTTTTGTCTTTTTTGCCATCTTCTGTCATCTTTTTTGTCATCTTTTGTCATATTTTTGTCGTCTTTTTGTCATCTTTTGTAATTTTTTGTCATCTTATGCCATTTTTCTATCATCTTTTTGCCATCTTCTGTCATCTTTTTTGTCATCTTTTGTCATATTTTTGTCGTCTTTTTGTCATCTTTTGTAATTTTTTGTCATCTTATGCCATTTTTCTATCATCTTTTTGCCATCTTCTGTCATCTTTTTTGTCATCTTTTGTCATATTTTTGTCGTCTTTTTGTCATCTTTTGTAATTTTTTGTCATCTTATGCCATTTTTCTATCATCTTTTTGCCATCTTCTGTCATCTTTTTTGTCATCTTTTGTCATATTTTTGTCGTCTTTTTGTCATCTTTTGTAATTTTTTGTCATCTTATGCCATTTTTCTATCATCTTTTTGCCATCTTCTGTCATCTTTTTTGTCATCTTTTGTCATATTTTTGTCGTCTTTTTGTCATCTTTTGTAATTTTTTGTCATCTTATGCCATTTTTCTATCATCTTTTTGCCATCTTCTGTCATCTTTTTTGTCATCTTTTGTCATATTTTTGTCGTCTTTTTGTCATCTTTTGTAATTTTTTGTCATCTTATGCCATTTTTCTATCATCTTTTTGCCATCTTCTGTCATCTTTTTTGTCATCTTTTGTCATATTTTTGTCGTCTTTTTGTCATCTTTTGTAATTTTTTGTCATCTTTTGCCATTTTTCTATCATCTTTTTGTCGTCTTTTTGTCATCTTTTGTAATAGTTTTGTCATATTTTTGTCATTGGTTGTTACTTTTTATCATTTTTGTTATCTTTTTGTCACATTTACAAGGAATTTTGATTTTTGTTAGCTCAAGGAAGCGCGCAGAAAAAATCGTGTAAATAAAATTGCTCATTTACCTAAACGCATACTGTTTAATTTGCAATTTTTATTGTAAACAGAATTGTAAGTAATTGTCACAAGTTTTCATATCATGTGCCGTGTTGTCAATTCTAACAGCAACTCTAGTTTTATTCTTGTGAAACGGGTGTTTCTGCAGGCAGAGGTATGCCAATTTCCAGTGAACCGTTAAGTGATATTCACAAAAAGCTGAGAGGAAAAGACAAAAAAATTAAAACATATTTCCGAGATTATAACTTTCGAGAATTATTCTGGCATTTTTTTCTTCAAAGGAAGACAAACGAAATACTTAAAGTACCCCAGTTTGTACCCCAGTTTGTACCGCGACGTTCGTACCCCCAGTTTGTACCCTAGTTACTACACTGGTCGGTGCATTTTCTTTCTATTGCATTCTGTTTTAGGACCAAGAACTTTTCTTCTTCCATGACGTCAGCCCAGGAAGCTGTTTCTTCCAGCCCAATGGTGCATTCATTTACAACACTCTAGTAGAATTTATCAAGGTTGGTCAGTTTTGTAACCCTTTACGTCATTGCTATCTTGGAAACCGCTTTTAAAACTAATGCCCACATCCATGCGTGCATATATAGTCTAGCAAAGATACCTCCCCCTTCTCATTAAATGTAAAGTGTATATATGTTTTGATATCAGATAGCTATATATAGATGTAAGGGAAGAGAAGGGGATTACACCATCTGTCCTGTATTGTAGAATAAATTTATCAGAATCACGTCGTATTTTGTTCAAGATTATTGATTACTCAACATGTAACTCGTTATGGCGAGAATAATTATGACAATGCTTGTAGGAATGGAGTTCTTGATAGGTATGTTAACAGATGTATATATAGCTGCCGTCTTCTTAACGATGTTTAAACTCCACCTCACTCAAGAGAGGACATCACTGCATGTATGCACTGCAAAGTTAGGCTTGATAAGACAAATGCTTTTGATCACCATATTCCCCAATAATACCTAATAGTTACTGTTCTAACCTTCGTCTTATAATCTTCTGTTTTAGTCTGAGTACAAGAAACGTGGCTTTAAAGAAGTTATAACACCAAATATTTACAGCACTCGACTATGGGAAACTTCAGGTCACTGGCAGCATTACTCGGTATGAGGATGTTATTTCGGGTCCTGTTCTATTTTACTGAGGGTTATCAGTATAGACATTTTTGGAAATTGTTGAGTACAACAGTTTGAAGGCCCGTCGGCCATGCTCAGTTTAAAACAAGTCCTCACTTTCTAAACGTCCAATTGACATTCGATCACTGATCTAAGACAATCGTGAAATGATCACAGATCAATAATTATAATGATTAGAAAAGAAACCTTTCGATAAATTGTAGCAAAGAGCGCTATGAGCAAGTTTATAGAGGACACTTTTTATAAATTCCAACATTTCCGGCTAGTCTATTTTTGACTTGAATCTATACTTCAATCTATATTCAAATATTAAAACTTTGTAAAGACACGACTAGACAAATCTATGTATTTCGAAACTAGCTCAGAGAGGTCTTTAGTTTTCATTAAATCTAGAATGATGAGACATATTCATGATAATCCTAACTCTTCTTGTTACCCACTGAAAACCTGAATTTGTATTACATTTAGGATACAGTTGTCTTCAAGTATTTGACTTGAATTATAATCTATCCTGAAAATCAACAGGAACAACTATGAACGGAAAAAAGCTGAGATTATTGGGTATTCAAAATGTCGGACTTTGACTGTTCTCTGTTCTTTTATCAACGGTCCAAATTTTTTATAGTTTGCTTGCTGTCATTGGGCACTTACAGGGGCGGACTGACCAGTCGAGAACTTGGACTTGGGGCCTGGCACTTTTTTCCGGTACTTAGTTATTCGCAGTGGGTATGACTAGCTCATCATCCAAAGGCCTGAGAACCTGCCAGCCTCCCCCCTCCTCTGGACACTTTAACGAATATCTTCTATTGAATGTCCTGTTTTTTAGACCAACATGTTCTCATTCGAAGTTGAGAAAGAGATGTATGCATTAAAGCCAATGAACTGCCCCGGGCACTGGTACGTCAGATGCTTTGACTGCATTTAATGTTTTCAATTAGTTGTCATCAACGTTATAACTACATTGTCATGACGATTTACTGTAAACTTTGTAGAAAAATTGCACGATATGACTTACAAGTTTTAGAAATAAATCATTGATTATCCATCCTTTGTTAAGCTTTTAATATTGGAATTAGTTCATTATGAATCAGGCGTAGAAGTGATTTTATGTACAGAGCTATGTAATTGCAACTGTTGACCATGTTTTATAGCTAGTCGGGATATAAAGGTCTTTCTGCAGAATAACCTGAATTTCTTTATCAAGCCCCTAACGAAACCTAAATAATATCAGCTTCAAATAACAATAATTTCGTCTTCTAAGATTTGCGTAGCATGAAACGCTTGGCCACCTAATGCCAACCATAATTAATAAAGGCGTGTGGCGATGCGACATCCAATGTATGACGATATTCAAAAATAAGTATTTATAATGTGATCAAAAGTATTTAGTTTAAATGAGATATTACTCTTTGTTGCCTCAGTATGATGTTTGATCACCGTCCTCGTTCGTGGCGTGAGCTCCCGCTTCGCATGGCTGACTTTGGTGTCTTGCACCGGAACGAACTCTCCGGCACATTGACCGGACTTACTCGTGTTCGTAGATTCCAGCAGGATGATGCACACATATTTTGCACCATGGAACAAGTTAGTTGCCCATTGCCTTTTCTTTTCTTAATGAATTTCTCTACAGTCTACGTCACAGATTTCTTCGTCTGTTTATTGTCCGCACCTAAAATATCTAGTGGCCAATCTGATTGGTCAGTTTTTGCCTGTCAGTCAAAGGACAGTCAATCACAAAGTAATTCAATTAGTGGAGTTTTCTTTAATGTCTATTCATACCCAAAGCTAAATTATCCTCTCATTTCCTCCAGTCGCCATTTTCTTTTCCTCTAGCCAATAGATAGGTTTGTTCTAGGACACCGATCTGTGCTCTGACCCATTTGATTGCCATATATGATTGCCATGTGATTACCATTTGATTACAGGTTCGCGCTGAGATGAAAGGCTGTCTGGAATTCCTGCAAGCCGTATACAGCGTATTTGGGTTCACGTTCAAACTGAACCTCTCCACCCGGCCTGACAAGTATATTGGAGATCCATCCACCTGGGACAAAGCAGAGAAGGTACGCGTTCTGTTGATTCGAGGAGACTTTTATCTTTACTAGTCAGTCGATATTCTGTATCGGTTTAAGCGTTGGCCAACCTTGGAAAACATAGCCAAGACCCTGAAATTTATGCAGATATGTATAACGAGACTTAGAATAATCAACAGTAGGCAGGGCCGTCGGAATGTTGGACCACAGGGGCACATGCCTCTAGGTTTGGGATATGCACTAGTTTGCCATTTATGTGTGGCAGTTTTAACTATACGAAACAGTGCCCCTTATAAAAACATCATGCCCCTCAGGCCCTCACTGCATGTTTCCATCAACTTTGAAATTTTTCTGAGGCTGGCTTTAAAGCGAAATCCTTCACTATACCTATAAGTTAGTATTTATGCATTGTTTTTCTAAAGCCGATCCTAGCTGTGTGATCCTAGTTTTTTTATTTTGTTTTTATCTAAATTTAAATCTCGATTCCTTTTTCAGACTCAAGCTTAACATCTCATTTTAAATAACTACTCTCACTCCCGTTCTGATTATGTTTGGTTGATTTCATAAGGGGAAGAAGAACGCTGTGTAAAGCCGTTTTTATCGTATTGTTTTTAACAGCTTTCATGTTTTGTAGGAACTTGAAAATGCATTGAATGATTTTGGCCACAAATGGGAACTCAATCCAGGAGATGGAGCATTTTATGGACCAAAGGTAAGAAACCCTTGATTTTTTCTTTTATGTGTTTGTCAGCTGATCGTCTTTGATCTCCTATTAGAAATCAAAGCGTCTGTTGAGACCATGTTTGCTAATGAAAGGCTAGAAAAGTTTTCTTTCATGCATGTTGCAATTATGAAAAACTGGAGCCGTGATCTTAAGCATGCTCTTCGTGCATATTGTTTTAAAATAGTTTATTGTATCACAGTTTATTAAGTATTTGAGGGTGTTATTTGAACATGTGGGTATAAAATATACGTTAAAGCATGGTGTGGACCGGCGTTAATACTTTCACGCTATCAATACTACTATCCAACTCACATAACATGAGCCTCGTCGAGCCTAGATTTTTAACCGTAAGTAGTAGCTATATGAGTAGAGACACACAACAGAGAGAAGACTTTTGCACTAATAAAGCAAAAACTAACTTGGTAGCGCTATAAAGTTAAGTTACAAATGAAAATGGAACTTTAATAGGCCTGATCCGTTTTATTTGAAATTTACACCATGTTTGAATTAAGGAGCTGTATTTTTGCATGATTTTATCATAGATTGACATCCAGATTCAAGATTTAGCATGATTTTTATCATGGATTGATATCCAGAGTCAAGATTTTGCATGATTTTAATCACAGAGTGACATCCAGATTCAAGATTTTGCACGATTTTTATCATAGATTGACATCCAGATTCAAGATGCACTAAGAAGATACCATCAATGTGCAACAATCCAGCTAGATTTTAATCTGCCGGAAAGATTCAAGTTAACTTACGTCAGGTGGGTACAGTCGCTAGTCATAGAACACGTCGTAATGGGTGCAATCATTGCCAAAAGTAATTTGAACACCCAGCAATCTGCGTTGCATTTGATATCTTACATTTCTTTTCCGAAAAAAATACTACTTTCGCCCCCTTTTCCCTAGAACAATGTTGATAGTTTAGAAAATATCATATAAGTTGTTGGTGCCGCAAACTTTGAAGATCGCACGAAAAAGGGTACTTTTCATAGCGAAATAGGGTACATAGCATGCTTGAAGCCGCTCTTACACGGTCAGATTTTGTCGAATTCGATTATGTCGAATCTAGTTTTGCTTCAAATTTGTCGAATGCCCCTTTTACACGAACAGATTTTGTGGAATAAATAGCAGCCAAAAACCTTAATATTGTGTGCAGAATGAAGAAGCAGGTTGCTTAAGCTGCCATAGTTTTATCACTGGCTTTGAAGAGACGACAAAATACGAGGCGAAACCGTACAAAATAGAATGTCATTCATTCACCTTTCGATTTGTCGAATGGAATAGAGCATGATCGATTCTTGAAAAATTGAATTCGACAATCTGATGATTGCATTCGACATTCGATTAATCAAATTCGACAAAATTTGACCGTGTGAAAGCGGCTTAAGTTCTTTTCGCTCGACGCTCTTCAGAGCATCAACATCGGATAATAACCAAATGTAAGCTGAAAATTTATATCCAGATGTGGATCGGAAGTAACTTGAGAGGAAGTTATAGTAGAATTTAAAATGAGGAATGCAAAAGAAGGTGCTTCCAAATCTCCTAACCCTCTTGATAGTAAACCAACATTGTTCCGTGTGGGGAGAGGGGGATGGCTGAATTTAACCCTGCAAACTGACGTCACCGTTTCAAGTCATTTGGCAAGCATTGTGGCTGCCTGATAAAGATTTTGTTTCGGCTCTACTAAATCTGGATCGTCTATGAACTCTTTATATAGGTGCCTAAAATTTGACTTAAATATGCAAAGTCTTACAGATACCATAGTTTACAATCATACTAAGTCCTATACTTTCGTTTTACGTCTGGGTTAGACGAGTCTCCCTGGGATTTTTCTCCAGACTCAGTTTGTTACGCGGTGCTTTTTTCTTTATCTTTTTCATGAGTAAATTGTAGATACGAGTGGTGAAGGCGAACGCAGCAAATATTCCGAAGCCTTGGAAAGAACAGAGAATTTTGAATAGCCAGTCGAAGGCTTCAACTCCGGCTAACCCAGAAATGAACCCGAAAATCCAGCCGATTCCGGTAAATGTGCCCAGTTTTAGCACCATCACCGTGGACTGTGTACGCAACACACTGCTCCGGCTGCCTTTCCGTAGTATCTTGCTGTTTTCTTTATTCATGCGATGAATTTTGGAAACGGCAGCCACAAGACATATACAGTTGAAAAGCAACACACAGCCGATGGGAATCAGAAAGGTTGCAATGCTGGCCCAGACGTTGGAAATAAAGCACTCACCATTTACTCCGTAACTCATTTTCTCGGGGCTCACGAAATGAATTATTGTGCACGGTGTAATTATAACGAGTGGAAAGCCATAGGCAGTTTTGATAGCCAGTCGATAGCGTCGAACTTTCTCGCATTGTGACGTCATTAGAGGTTGGCAAAATGTTCGCGTTGTGCTTAGTGCGATCATAGCCATCGTGCAAAAGGCTGTCAGATAAACCCAGTGTATCCAAATGCCAACGACAGCGCAGAATCTGGTGTTTTTCGCTGCATAATACTTCATTAGGAGGAGGGCATGGCCTATTGCTAAAACAGTCGCTAAGTGTTTGATATATCGACCGGGGACGGACTGCAGTTCCTTGAAACAAAGTAGCATGAAAAGAAGGCAGGTCAGGCTTATGATACTCAGTGAGTTACCCACCACTTGCAAATAGAACAAGATGCCGTTACTGTTATTGAGATGGTTTGGTGAAGTTTGCTTCTCATTCTTTATGCTGCAGACTGCTGTCTTTTCGTTAAAAGTACCCCTAGAACTTGCGCACATCTGCTTTCGAAGTTCTATTGCCCTTGCTATAAGGATCTTCAGTGAATTGAAGAAATCTGTATACATAGTGTAGTTGCTCCCTCCCTTCGTGTTGCTTTCGTCCTCAACATTCCCACTGTCGTTGCCAGATAACTCGAAAAATATGATCTCTACCGCTTCGTAGGCCGTCATGTACAACTCCTCGCAGTTGTTGGCATTACGACTGATTGTACTGGCGGCTGCCTCAATTGAGTCTAAAATTCGGTCATCAATCGTTGTACTTATGGAACGAAATTTGTAATCTCCACAATTATGATTCTCCCGCAGTGACACTGTTACAAGATTCACTGCTGATATTATGACCCATTTTGACAGAATATTTGCTATCAACATCCTCCCAGTTACTTTAAGTCAGGCCTGCTTCAAGCCAAATGAAATGACTGAATCTTAATACCGCAAGATATTCTAAGTGACTGAAAATAGGTGAAGGCAGTCTTATTGACACTAGCTATTACTTTACGTATTTCTTCAAACTAGATATGAAATTTTCGTCGTTTCATGTATTATTGAGCAATGCTTTTTAAGTATCATCCATTAAGACATTGCTACCTCTAAATGCCTTTTGCAAGCTTATAAATTGGATTTTTGGGTTTTGGATGAATATGATTTTCTTGTATTTACCTTAAAAACAAGAAATGAAAATTGTTTGTTAAGACTATCTGATGGCAATTTACGTTGGTTAACAACAACTGGTTCTTTCTCATCGAAATCATGTGCTCGCTTCTGCATGTTTAAAAGGTATTACTCGCTTTGACGTCACACTATGCTCTTAGCTAGCGATAGGAGAACTGTAGTTATACAAGATTCAGATAATAACCCCAGCTCTCCTGGCTTGGCCTTCTAAAGCTGTGTTGTGTGTATGGTTCTCTTTGGGAAGCAACCTTTCATTGCTTTTGAGAAGGACGCTCAGTTTAGATTCAGGCATGCTCTACCTCTTTTTGTTGGGCAATTAAGACCCCGTTTACACGGTAGCGGATCACTTTTGATTCGACACAAATCTGCTGCGGATCAGCCTCCCGTCTGCACGAGCGCCAAGTGATCCGATACACTTTTGCTCCACTATCCGCATCAATTTTGAATCTGCTACGAAAGCAAACTAGTTTTGTGTCGAGTCACTTTTGTATCGGATCACTTCTGCACCGCGTCGTGATTCGCATTCTTCTGCACCGCGTCATCACTTCTGCACGAGACGCAAGTGATTCGCATTAATTCTCTTTTTCTGGGTATGTATCTTAGAACGGTATTGCGATTTCTTCAAACTTGTTTTTGACTGTTTCCCAGTCTAGGCCTAACTGGCTTTTAAAGGCTTTGTAGTCAATGACAATTCGTATCATGAGCGCAGTTTCCTCGTCTGTCCATGAGAAGCTTTTATCTTTACCATTGAAGTTGGCTGGCTGCTTCTTTGGTGGCATTTTGAAGTGCTGACGTTGAAAGAAACCACAAAGAATCTCAGAAAATCTTGGATAGCCTAATTGGTGATGAGAAACGACATGACAGAGATTTGGCGGGCTTTTGGCGTGCAGGCGCAATAGACGTATCCAATTCGATCCGCTATCGTGTTGATGGGAGGGTGATCCGCAACACTTTTGATCTGCTACAATGTAGACGGGAGGGTGCTCAGGTACATTTTGATTCGCAACACTTTTGATCCGCTACCGTGTAAACGTGGTCTAAGAGTAAGGCTGGTACGCAGAGTAATAACTGGGCAACTCGATTAGATAATTTTCCCTCTTCCTGTTGATTTTGAAGTTTCTTACTGGCAGTTAATCACAGTTTGCCACACAAGAGCACCCGGATGTGGAGCTCGGGCCTTGGGTGGGGGGTTTGCCCCTTATTAATGTCAAGAGGTAGCCCTTTACTTTTTGCCATTGTTTTCTTAGCGTTTTTTGCGAAGGCATCCCTTGTTCTTTTGATAGTAACAATAAACCCCTAAAATTAAAATTTATACTCTGGTTCAAATGCACTTGCTTGTAATTTCTTTCTTGTTATTTTAGTGGTGAAGGGGACGAAAAGAAGAGACCAGTTATTATACACAGGGCCATTCTTGGATCCGTTGAACGAATGATTGCCATTTTGACGGAAAACTATGGTGGAAAATGGTAGGAATGTTTTCCCACCTTAGTAGAAATCTATATAATGTATTAATTCATAATAACATTATCATACTTTTGTCACCCATATACTGAAATAACGGGCTTGGAGCAAACTGGATTTCTGTTACTGGCAAGAGCCAGAAACAGGTTCAGTGTTCTCTTGTTGCTTGTCCCCAAATGGGGATATCATATTTCAAGTGGGATTTTCCGACCCATAGCTTTATGTGTCTAACAAGCAATCCCATCGACAATTGTTTACTTTTCAAAATTTTATGTATTACTCGTATTGATCTTTTGCCATTCCTGTTGCTTTTTCCTTTATTAGGCCATTCTGGTTATCCCCACGCCAAGCTATTGTCATTCCAGTGAGCTCAAAATATGATGAATATGCTGCTGAGGTAAGTGTCGAAAATCAATTTTTTAAGGGGGGGGGGGGGGGGGGTGCATACCTAAAAAACTCTAGGAGAGGCGAACAAGTTTCATTCTTGCTTTGATCAAGAAAACCCCTGTCAAAAAGCAAAATAATTCCCGGCTATTGCTCGTGATGTTTGACTGCGTGCCTTTTAGGCAAAAACTTTAAATAAATCAAGAAATCTGTAAGCTGATTTATAACAAGGTTTTCGAATAATTTAACAAAAAGTGCTTCTTTTTACACACCAATCTTCCTTCAGTTCTCCACACCCAGTGGTTACTTAGTTTTGAAATAGCCCTGACGATTATACGAATCTGCCGTAAAATATACCGTGATGATATTAAGCTTTAAATTTAGCTATAAAAAGCTTTAAATAAAGAAAGCTTTTTATACGGTTAATATTTAAAATTTTACTTTTAGGTTTCAGAAATATGCCAAATATAATCTGATATAATCTGAAATCTAAAAAGATACGCTGTCAAGCTTTCACCCTTCGTTAGCGTGTTTTAAATTAGGCTAAGAGCGATGTCTCCTTTTCAGCCTACCTCTTTAAGCTCAGTTTTAAATTTTTATTTTCTTATATAATTAATTTAAGTATTGGGTCTGGTACGAAATCACCCCTACCCTTGTAACTTAATTTTCTTGATTGACTGGGAAATAAAAAAACGACAGCGTTGCTCCTTTAGAGTTTTTATCCGGATATGTATGGTTTTATCTGATGCTAGTTTGGTATTTTAGTAAAGAGTAGCCATTGATTGGGCCAGTTTAGCCAAAACCCTTTTACACATAAAATAGAACTGCCCCTCCCGGAATGAACTTGCCAAGGAGCATTCATCTCAATGTTTTTTTGTACTTGGTGCATTAATTATCAAAGCTTTTTATTTCAAAATCCTTGTAAATATAATAAATCTGCAGGAAAACTGCTGTTTTGGTTTCGTCATGAAATGAAGAGACGTTTGCAGGGATTTTGTTCTATCTTTCTTTGTTTTCAACAAGCACTGCTAGATTTTTCAAGTTCAATTTTTTCGTAGACCTGCTATGTTTTTATGAAATGAATAAGGAATATGAATAGAAGATCTGCTTGGTTACATTAGAAAACCTTTTATTGAGGATATTTCATTGTAATCTTTTATCAGTTCGTTTATCGAGTTGTCAGTAGTGACGATTACGAATTTATCAGGAAATTTCAAACAAGTTCTTCGTTGTGATTTGCTCTCAGCGGTGCTCCACTTGCTTCGTTTACCAGCAGTCATAATATTTAGTTGAACATAGCGAGGAAATATGACTTTACAGTGTGATTATTGCGAATTAAAAGTCAAACCTCTTAGGAAAGTTGTATTAAAACTGTTTTATTATGTTTGTCGGCGTCTGCTCACATTTTCGTCCGTAACATCTGTTCTCAAATTGGCAAAAAATTGCATTTTGAGACATAATTGCTCTCTAACAATTTCAAGCAGATGAAATATCTTGTATTGATTTTCCCATAGTGCTTAATATCGCAATGTTTTAGTATAATTTGTGCCTTTTTTATTAATAAGTAATGTTAAAGCACTTACAATCTTCGTGTCTAAATATGCATCCTGCTGTGTTTTTGAATCCCAAAAAACCATCTGTGCTTAGCAAGTGTCGGTACAGTATGTTGGCACTCTAATTGCCCTCAAAGCATGAAGAATTTTCATGTTGTAATATCTGCAACGTCTAGGCAACTGATTACCAAAACACGCACCTGTTTTGTATATCATTCAGAAATTCTGGTTAAAATCCATCCAAATCTACACTGGCCATATAGTGCCTCTAATGCAGCTTAGTTTAACTCTGTCAGAATTTTTTTGGCCTAAACCTTGTTTAAAATGTTTTTTATTGTATTTTTCAGTCTTTCCATGAAGAGTTATTTACAGTGATATCTATCATAGTGTTCTTTCAGAATTTTTGGTTCTCACATGAGTTTCCCAACTAAAAAATAAGCTTGACAAAATATTCGCTCGCTGATAGTATTGCTGCGTTTCTGTGAAACTTCATTAGAAGCCTGCCTCCAAACCCAACACCCCACTCTAAACTCCTGCCAACCCCTCCTGCCAACCCCCTCCCCTTTCAGAGCCCCAATCAACTGTACATCGGTACCCTGTAACTGTATCTTGGATTCTTTTTGGGTTCAATACGGCGTTTTTTGTGCAGATAACAGCATCCAGCCTGCAATGATCCTTTTCCTTACTTTCAGGTCTGTGGAAAGATAAAGGACGAAGATTTTATGATTGATGCAAATTATGACCCAGGAGAGACACTCAACAAAAAAATCAGAAACGCGCAACTTGCACAGTACAACTTTATTTTGGGTAAGTCGTAAAAAAGCTATGATAACTCATTTTCGAAAAGTTTGAAAAGAAAATGTCATGAAGACGTATTTTTATGATGGTTTTAGTAAACAGGGCAGACAAAATATTTCGTTATTGCTTTTATAGTTGTTTCACAGAAGTTATAATATACTAGGATAGGTTTGACTTGCTCTCAAACACTGATCCTTCATACATTCTAGTTGTTGGTGAGAAAGAAAAGGAATCTGGAACAGTGAATGTAAGAACCCGCGACAACAAAGTACACGGAGAAAAGAGCATTCAGGCCATTATAGAACGTTTCGCGGCGCTTAGAAGTGAAAAACTAGCAGACAGTGAAGAGCCTTTTTGAATTCAAGAACACTCCATGGTAACAATAGTTTAGGCATGTAAAACCAATTCAATCTAGTTGCAAATTGCAAATTTGATACAGCTTATTATGTTATCTTTATTCTTGAAAACTTCTTTTGAGTGATGGTTCTGTGCTAGGCAGATATCGCCCTTTGTCCAATACTTGTGGTTGATTTTAAATTTTTCAATTAGGCCTCAATTCGCTTATCGTGAGCACGTGACCTGCAGTTCTTGGTAGCCGGTGTTAATTTACTTACTCGGGAATGAAATGCCAATGCAATATAAAGGGCATAAAGCTCCCTCAGAAGAACTGCCATAGACATCAGAAAGGCCAGTCATGACTCACGAGGCTACGTTCCCACATCATCGAGAGCGAGTTGGGCCGTTGGTGCATCGGCGCCAATCGCTCAACCTACCATAAAGGGGTTACTATGGACAGGAAAAGCCTCTTTTCCCCACTAATAGCCGATGCACCAGTCCTACCTAATAGCATCAGAAAACTCTAAGAAACATAAAAAATGCCTGAAGGTATGAGAGGTTTTAACGATGCCATAAAAGAAAACACAACACGCAAAGCTATACTGAATAGGCATTTTGCATAAAGAAACAAAATGAGGGAGGGAGGGCTGTGAAAATACAAGAAAACAGCCTAGTTGTTTTGTGGCTTCACCAAGCAAGGTGAGACCCACGCAATGCCAAAACCTTAAATACCCCTAGATTAACCAAGGGAATGAAAACGCCACGAAACACACATCTTACCCTAGTTTTACAAATCAAATTCTCAGGAGGCCGAAAGACTCCCAGCATTGCCCATAAACTAGTAGAGCAGATACAAGAAAACCCGAGGAAGCGTGGCACAAGAAAACATAGCGAAATAGTAATAACAATAATCTCAAGCGATCTAGTTAATGCTCAAAAGCCCCTCGTGAAATTAACTCTGATTAAATTTCATTTAATCATCATTTGTGATTTTGCTACAGGATTCCCGTAGCGACGCAAGTCTCTAGGCTCTGGAAGGGGAGAGGGGACAAAGCAAAAACTTTCAGGCCACGCCCTTTTTGCCGCCTGAAAACGCTTTTCTAACAGCAAGGAACGCTTATTTTATTTAAAGGGAACGCCAATGACTAAATTTTGTTTACGTAAAGTCAGTTTCAAAATCATATGATTCATTGCAAAAGTACAACAAGCACAGGAGGACACTGATAACGGTTAAAAAAAAGAGTGGGCAAAAGCAAGAGCCCTGTGGAACCCCTATCTCGATATTATACTAAAATCTGCTACACTGATGCGAACTGTATGTACGATAAGGTCTAGACCAAGTAACGGATGGTATTTTTTCTTTTGCAAAGAGGTTTCGTAATCTACTGTATCGAATGCTTTTTTGAGATCAACAAAGATCATGCCAGTAAGACTAAGCGTTATTTATGTCCGAGTTGCATGGTACCAGTCATCGGTGCATTCTTGGAGGCATCGGTTGTTGAATGTAGGGCCTTGAAATCAGACAGGCGGATGATAGGGAACCGTTTCCATTCATGTAATGGTAAAACTGCTTTGATATGATGGGCAACACAGATGTCAGTGAATAATTAGATTTTTTTAATTTTTCGCCCTTTTTGTGAATTGATGTTACCTTGACAATTTTCCCAGTTTCAAGAAAAGTGCTGATCTCGATAGAATTTTCAAATGTTGCGTTAAAGGAGATGAAATAAACCACACATCAAATAGGACCTACATTTTACGTTGATAAAAGGAAGCAATATGCGACTTAAACGATTTTTTCTGTACTATGATCGATCGATATGTCATGTCACCTGGGTAGAATTTCTCTCAATATTTTGTTCGCTGAAATGCAGACTAAACAAAACTGACGAAACACCAGGAAAGCTGAAATTAATCCTGCAAATCTAGGCTTTACTGCATCAATATTTAAAGGAAAAATAAAGCAGGACAAACCCTAATCCCTTTTTTGAACTAGTAGCGCTGTCATATTTACCAATTGTCATTTTTCGAAGGCGAATTATGGTTAATTTGGCCTATAAGCAATACTCCGTCAATCCAAGTGCTCAACAAATGAACACCTAAATCTTGGTTCTATAAATTTGCCGTTTTTACGTCACCCGCCGATACCTAGAAACACGTTTAGAACTGCAGAACCTCGTCATGAACCCGAGATCATGAGCTTATCAAAAAATAAAAAGTTTTTGTTATGATAGGTCTTTCTCTTAATAACTTACCAGCACGCGCTTGCAATATATTCTGGTAGTTGAATTCCACATCTTTAGAATCCTGAAAGCTGTGTCAACAAAACCATATCATATGATATGGTGCAACGAAGGGAATATTTAGATGCTCTTGGTTGATCGGCCTAGACGCCCCCCAGAGTCAGGAAAACATTACGGTCGCACGGCCACCGACCGGGGGAAGGTCCACGAAAAACAATAGAAGCTCCTATGAGACACCCAAGCCACGCCCACTTTCTATTGCTTTGTGAGGAAGGTCTGCCTTCTAGGATGTTTTGTCTGGAGGAAGGTTAACAACTTCTCATGACTCTGACTCCCCCCGTCTCATATCAGCAAAATCAATGTCCAATTAGCTTTGTTTACGTCAACAAACGTAACATGTAAGCTAAGAAAACATTTTCCTTCTAATATAAACAATTCAAAAGCATCCTTCTGTTTGGCGATAACAATATGTTCTTTCCAGTTTGTTTTTACAGCGGCACATTTGGGCACTAGCGGGATAATTATGTGCTTACCTGGAAGTGTATTTCAAGGTGATCTCACCCTTTCAAAGAAAAACGTACGCACTGAAAGTTTGAATGCTACGTCCAGTGAATTCATCAGCGTAGGTGGCATTGTGTTAATAGTGACTCCTCTGTAGTTACGTAATAGAAATGTTGTTTGATAAAGAGATTATGTGTACTACCCTCATTTCTTATAAGAAACCGTCTTAAAAAGCCGTAGTTCAGGGAGGCTTGAGGACGGGAATGCTCGGGGGCCGTTGCCCCCTTGCTCTCACAAAAAAATTAACAATTTTCTTTATTTTGCTATGGTTTTGCCCACTTTCTTGACGAGTCTAAATATTCTTAAATTTTTTGGTTTTGAGCCCAAGATTATTCTTAAATTATTCTTAAGCAACATAAGGTATAATTTGGTTGCAGTTTAATGACCACTCCAAGGCTGGATGCGTCCATTTCAAGACATACGGCGTTAAACTCGCATTTTTTTGGCTTTCAAAAAAACTCAAATGAACAAAAAATCTAATTTTTTTTATGAAGCTTCAGTCTGTCACTATTCTTGAATTATTCTTATTTTTCAGCGATTTTAAACCTCAATATTCTTATAAACTATGTTCTTTTATGTAAGCACTCATGTATTGTTTTTATGTAGTAGTTATTTTTATTTATCATTAGATATTTGAGAAACCTTTATAAAAATTTAGCATTTAAGTCACCAAAAACACGACTGGTTGCTAATCTCGAGCTTAGTTTTCCATAAAAATAACGAGTGCATATGCCTATATAGCTAATTGAACTTGCGCAAGTCTCACTCGATAGGCAAGCCAAAAGAAGGAGTCGAGGAAGTCTAGATAGTCGATATTCAAATGAAGGAACTAAAATGTAACGGTTTGTCTATCGTTAGAGAAACCTGTCCTGGACCAATAGCCATTGGTAACCTGTTTCTGGAGCGAAACTCGGCGAGGGATCGCAATCACTAGCCCCTTTCCCAATTCATTTGATTTTAGAAGTTAAGGGGACCTTATATGGGACCTCCTTATTCGCACAGAGTGAGGGTTTAATTCAAAAGCTGAACAGAGCGACCCTTGGATATGTAGCTTCGCTATTTCTGTTTTAAAAGTGGCAATAGTTGTTTCTTTAACAACGAATGATAAGCAAATAAATGCCAGCGAGAAAATCAAAATAAACGAAACTCTTTTTTAGAGCCCTTAGTATCGTGGCACTCCCTGGGTATCGTGGCACTCCCTTGGTATCGTGGCACTCCCTTGGTATCGTGGCACTCCCTTGGTATCGTGGCACTCCCTTGGTATCGTGGCACTCACTTGGTATCGTGGCACTCACTTGGTATCGTGGCACTCCCTTGGTATCGTGGCTATCGTTCGCACTATAACATTTATAAACAAGTAAAACATTTTCGTCATTGGTCCAGATCCGAGTGTGCGCAGCTTTGATGACGTCACATGATAGGAACTGTACTGCACAGGTGTGAAATATGTAAGCTCTATGAAAAAGCTTCACTTACTTTAAGTTGAATTTCTTATTTAAAACAACATTAGATTATTATATAACATCGACAAGCATGTTCAAGAGTTCTTGCGATTCACATTAAACTGCTCGTAACTGCTTCAGAATGGAGACCAGGCGAATTATTATTATTATTATACAGGTGTGATGTGGGTAATCTTTATGAAAAAGCTCCTTTACAATTTTTCAAGCTTTATAGCAACGAGTTCCTGCCTGTCAGTAAGATTCTTGCTGTCAACTTTCTGTTGCCACAACAATGTAATGCTGCTCCTTTTTGAATAGTTCTTTACAGTACGCGAAGTCTCAGAGGGATCGTATAATAACAGCTCAGTTTTTTTAAATTGCTTTTTAGGTCAGGTGATTTTTTAACAGTATAACCCGGGGGGCAACAAGTCCTAGTGGGCTCTTTCTATCAAAAGAACTCTCTCGATTAATAAAGAATTGTAACGGGGTTGTGGCCTAACATTTTCTCGTTTTACTCGTGACTCGTGCTCTTGGTTTTAGGTAAACAGGAACTGGAATTCATCTAAGAGATATAGAACCTTCTATTCTATTCTACATCCCATTGTAAAATTTGCCCTTTTCAACATTAAAACGTTTTATTTAAGAAACATCCCTAATGATTCTTTGAATTGCCTTTCAAATGGTGTTTTTATTGCTTCATGCAGACGCGTGAAAGATGTTCGTTCTGCCAAGCAGGGGCAAAGTTGTTCGTTGCTATTTTTTCGAAATTTGGTGAAAAAGGCTGTCTTCAGCACCCTCAAAAGACTCAGCTCCCCATTGCGCCCCTGATGCAGAGGAAAAAGCAACTTTCACGATGCAGGTCTTATATTTTGTCGGATAAGTAACGCATTACGCCACCATATTGACGTCTGTTGAGCCGGGAAAATCATTTTCCGCTGGCCGTGCTGTTTATTATTGTTTCGTATTAGAAAACCCTTACTTGAATCAGCTGTTTCTGAACAACAATGCGAAAGTAGTTTATATACGTAAGCACTATCATTTTGTTTTAGAAAAGTTGTTTACAGGATGATAATGCCCAGCTGCTGAAAAAGTATAAAAAAGCAATGGTGTTTGGCAATCACCTCGTAGTATTTGGAGATTTGACGTTCAGTTAGCTAGAACATAGGCTAAAGTTGTATGTCATGGGCTCCGACAAAGGTTGAAAAGTGGGGGGGGGCCAAGGGAAAATTTAACACCCGTAACAGAAGATTTTGAAAAAAATTCTATTGTTTTGCAAAAAAGTGGGCGAGGGTATTGTTTGCCAAGGCCCCCCCGGCCCCCCCCCTTCGTCGGAGGCCCTGTATATGAATATATAATTAGCACAATACAAAGTTACATTGTATACGGCCTAGGCAAAACGAAACAAGAACAGCAATAATGTATAAAATGCTGCAATCAAATGATTTCAGGACTATTATTGTGGGTTATGGCAACATACTCGGTCTTGACGTGTTTTCACGGGCAGACATTTTGGGCATCATACTCAGGGTTTTTGTTCTGAGTTCTGCTGCTTGTTGCAAGAATTTTGCGAGTTTTTTCTGCTTGCTAATGTCTTGGCAGGACTTTAGGAGGACACTCTTGTTTTAGTTATACCAATTCCTTAACATTTCTCCCTTCCCTTCCCTATCAAAGCCTGTCACATTTGAAATACTCCTGCCACAAAGTGTGAGCGCCTATATTTCTGTAAATGGTTTGTTTATCGGGAAAGCTAAGCATCAGCTTCTCTGATTATCCAGTCGAAATGAAATCATAAATTTTTGTTGTAAAATCGAACGAAAATCTAAGCAAAACTTAACAAAGAAGGAAACAAGCAAATAATCAATCCTTTAAGATAAGAATATTTCTGAGTATCTTTAAAGAAGAAAACGTCAGTATGAAAACTAAACAAAAGATTTATCCAGGTTTTATCAAAAATCAAGACTTGGATCAACACTGGATGTTTCTCGGTCTTGTCATTCCCTGGCGAGAACCCCCGTCTTAGGTTTTGCCTTCCGCAGCAACTTCTTGCAGGCTGTTGAATAATTCAGACAGTTAATCAACGATAATTATTTCGGAGTGCAGCCAACATTTTGTCAAAAAGCTAAGTCATTTTGTTTACGGTAGCTTTCATATAGCAAAGCCTTAAACTAAAATCGACGCTACGTTGCAGGGAAGCGATGATTTTCCAAAGAAAAGGTGGATATTTTGGTACATTCATTGTTGTTATTTTTCTGTCAGTGTTAGGGGCTCTTTCAAGTACTACCGTTCCATCCGCAACTCCTGCGACTGGAAATGGAGGAGGGGGAAAGATCAAAGTTTCAACCTATGAAAAAGATCTGCTCGCTACGCTTTTGACAAACTACAGCACGTCAGCTCGCCCGACCTCATCCAATCACGAACCTGTATACGTCAACTTCGAGCTGCGATTAAATAAGATTGTCAAACTGGACATGAAGGAGCAATTGCTAGTGATCAACGCAAAATTGTTTTTGAAATGGAGGGATCCTCAGCTTGCGTGGAATATGTCCGAGTGGAATGGCACAAATTATCTGAATGTGCCCAATTCAAAAATCTGGACACCTGATATTATGCTTTATAATACTGCCAGAGATGACAGCAAAGATCCATCTGATATGTACAAGACGAAAGTTTTGATCAACCACGACGGAGACATCATTTGGGTTGCACCAGTAACCCTGAAGGCTTCTTGTGCCGTTGATATCAAATGGTTCCCGTTCGACAATCAAGAATGCAAACTGACTTTCGGATCATTGTCATACACGCGCAGTAGGCTTAATATCAGGTTCAGGAAGCAGCCAAAAAATGCTGCAGGAATGCAGGGAAATTTTCACTACTCGAATGGAGATTGGGATATCAGCAGTGTTTCCTCGAGACAACTTTCGGAGAGGTACGAATGGAGTCCAGAACCATATGCGTTGATTGAGTATTCAATTTCACTCAAACGGATGTTCACGTATTACATGTTGTACCTTGTGTTGCCATGTTTAGGGCTCGTATTTTTGGGACCGTTTATGTTCTATCTTCCTGCAGACAGTGGAGAGCGAACTGGATTTGGTGTAACTGTGGTTTTGGCACTCAGTGTGTACTTGCTTGTGATATCAGACCAGCTCCCAGAGAAGTCGGACAGGACACCATTGATTGGTGCATTGTACATTGTTATCTTCTTTCTTTTGGTCCTTGCATTAAGTGTTGGCATTGTCACCACCCATCTTTGCTACAAGACTAATGAACCCCCCAAATGGCTGTGGAGAGTGCTCTTCAAAAAGAAGCAACATTTGAGACCAATTGATACCGTCAAGGAAAATCAGATGAAAAGCGACGGTCTGGTTATGCAAACAATGGAAACCGTAGCACAACAAAGACCTGATCTGACAAAACGCTTCTCTACAATCTCTGGGAAGGTTATTCCAACGATTGATGAAGCAGAGACCAACCAACACAAATGGCGAATAATTTCAGCCAAGATTGACAAGATAATGTTCTGGTGCTACCTAGCAATGGTCATCGTCATACCAGCCATTGTATGCGTCTGCTTCATCTGACTTAGCAAGCCATAGCTCACATTGAGGTAATTTCAACCTCTCGTTCTACTCTATAAATTAATGCACATCTTTGTTATAATGTTTGTTAATGAATGTCCGTATGTTAAAATGTTTGATAAACTCGTTGTGCTAATTTGGTCCGTCTATCTTTCTGCCTGTCTATTTAGCTATATAGCATAAATAATCTGAAGTTGGTAAGGCAACCCGCTAAGAAAAAACTTAAGGTAGTAACGAAATCCTTGTTGTATCAAAGAATTCAGTTCTTAAGTCTTCTGCTAAAAGGCAGGTGATGGCTTGATAAACGTAGGCTGGACTTAAGCAACGAAATGGTGGCCATCATCCACAGTAGAATCCGCATGAGTCTAGAATTCCAGAGCTACTTGGAAAAGCTTCCAGAAACAGGCTTGTCATTGAACTGATTTTTGTTTCTTCGCGTTCCAGTCTTCAAGTCGACAATTCCTCTTAATTTGGTCCTTACACGGGGCCGTTATCACCGAAGCAGTATATGGAAAATTTTCTAACAGTATTTGTCTCTGCTGTTTAAATGATTTCAACTCAGGCATTTTATTCTACAAACTGCTATTCAGACAAAAAATATGCATTTTTTATCGGCCTAAGTTTTGAAGTTACCAAACAAATTTTCTTAAATTCAGCCATTTCCAAGTTCTAATTTAACGTGTCAAAGTTGACGTTAAGGCAATGAACGCATTTTGTTTTTGCCAGGATTTCATAATGCTTGTCACACCACGCATTAATTCTTTACATATAAGTGATGTGTCATTGACATATCAACCTGCTCGTAGCATAAAAGCTTCTATTATTCACTTCTTTCATTTGCCAAATATATGCACACGAATTTTTTACAATCATCTTAATATTTAATTATTTCAAATCTTTTTTACTTTTTGCAACGTTCCCTAAAAGAACTTTGCTAGCAGAATTTTTCCTAACTTAATGCAAAGTTCCCTAATAGAACTTTACTGGCAATTTCAAGCCCATGATCCTTAAATACGAACAGTGGCGAAGCTGGACTCCCATTGATGGTCGTGCCCATTGGCCACTGCGCAACAGAAATGCGCCTCCGCAATATTATCCAAAAAAATATTTCAGTGATCTAAGGAGCTCATATAGCAATTGCATGGCACTGCATTACTTTTCTGACACGACAGAAACAAACTAAATTTAAAAGTATAAAAGCTGCTTTTGTGTCTCCCCTGCCTCTGGCTGATACTCAAAATTCATTTTCTTTCCAAAGTGTGATGGAGGTTCCTGGCAACTTTTTTTTATTTTTGGTATTATTTACCCAAAAATCAGTTCACAGGATAATAAAGATTGAACAAAAAACTTTTTCTAAAATTTTATCAAATTATTGCAACAATGGGACCAAAATATACACCTGTGGACTCAGATTTCAAATGTATAATAATTGCAAGCACTGTTTGTGTTTTGCACACATAAGAATTTAGAATTTCATTCATAAAAAGAGGCAAAAGTTGGGCTTTAAAGAGCAAACTCGACTGTGAAGTGCATGCAGACATGTTATTCAAAAGACATTAAGATGCAAAATGAAACAGATGTAAACATGAAATATTAAGAATATCTTGCTGAAT